CAATTCCGGGTCGCGCGGCGAGTTGTTTGCATCTGTTTGGACTCTGCAAGAAAGTGGTCGCAAATCCCCCGCCTTCATAGAGCCTGCCGCATGTTGAAATCACGCATATTAAATGTACCGGCAGGGATGTCATGATACAGAAGATGCAACGTTGGTTCTGAATTTCCGAATTTCCCAACATCAAGTTCATTAGATAGAGGTAATGAGACCGCAAGTACATTTAACAAAAATGTACAACCAACATTGCATCCGCTCGTTGATATAGATTAACTTTTATGAATCAAGTGACGCGTGAATATGAACGTAGCACGCCGTAGGTTTTCTGGCAGTAAAGAGCAATTAACGACGCGTCCGAACGCGTCGCGGACGTGACAAGCTGTGACACCATCGCAAAAAGTGTCACACCAAATATCCTGGTCACTGTCCGGGCTCTCCTCCAGCAGCAGAAGCAGGTCCCTTCCCCTGTGTTAGAACTGCAAACTCAACATAGTGCATGAGATATATATTCAACCTTTTACAGCTGTGATCCAGTACTTGCTTTGTCCGCTAATTACACAGACTTGTGCTTCCTGGAAATCAAGCTCATCTGCATCAAGGACAGGGAATGCACCCACTGGTGTGCACATAGATATGTTCCAAATGTTTCTGAAGACAATACATAACTTCCCTAAGCACTCTTTTGCCGACCTCGGTCATATTGACCATCATTTCATCCCGATGGTGGACAGCTCAGGAATAAGAAGAGACAAACATGTTTATATCTACTGTAATGGTAGAATACCTTTCTTGCTGGTTTAAAATAGTGATATACATTGCTCATGCATGCATAAGGTGAGAATGGAGCAGAGAAACGCACAAGAATACGAGGGGATACTTGCAACCACCTTTCAGCCACAATCTGCTGACAAATCAACTCGCACCGGAACCGGGCGTTGCGCCTCCCCAAGACCAGTCAGAGGTTAAGTCGAAGTCGCTGGTGCCGCCGGAATAAACTCGGCATAGTTATCCCCGCACTCCTGTTCAACACTGACAGTGACTCGGAACGTTCAACGTCTCTGCTTGTCTTGTCCAGTCCAATGCCGACATAATATCATCAACCCTGGAGCAACGTAGAGAAGCATATTGAAGCTGTTTCGGTCGATCTTCGCGAGCTATGTCTTCGATTCTACGGGTTCGGATATCTACCTTCAGATATCAAACGTGCAAAACCTCTCCGCGACGTGCCTTGCATACACCGACTTCGCAGCCCTTGATTCACATCCCAAAGAGCAACGTCTATCGTTTCGATGACACAAAGGGGACCTCTCCGCTCTTCCGCGACCTCCAGTGGACGGTGCGCGACGGCGAGAGCTGGGCCGTCGTCGGCGCTGGTTCAGGCGAGAAGACCGCACTGCTCGAGGTGAGTGCAGCATGTCTTTCAAATCCTCCGATACAATAGCAACACTGCTAATCGGTAGGTTCTAGACGGGCGCTACCGTCTCAAGCCGCCCCCGCATGGCGGCCTCTTCCCCTTCCTCTCGTCCTACAGACCCAACGCAGTCTCCCTCGTCTCCTTCGCGCACCGCCCGCGCGCCGCGGGCGGTCAGTTCTACGACTACACTGCCCGCTATGGATCCGTGTGGGAGGAGGACAAGATAACGCTCCGGCAGAGCATGTTCCCGGAGACGCTCCCCGAGTTTGCGCGGCGCGATAACCAGCACGCGGTGGAGATGACGGACGAGGACAAGGAGCTCTTTGACGAGCTCGTGCGGAAACTGGACCTGGGCGGGCTGCTGGACCTCCCGCTTATCGCGTTGAGTAATGGGCAGACGCGGAAGGCGCGGATATTGAAAGCGCTGCTTGCGAGGCCGGAGCTGATGCTTCTGGACGAACCACTGAGTACGCCCTGCCGTATCGCACATGCGACGAATGCTGAACCACTATTTCTTAGCCGGAGTTGACGCTGCGACGCGCCCGCTTCTCATCGACATCTTCCACTCACTACACATTTCTCGCAATCCCCGCATCATCCTCGGACTCCGGAAACAGGACCCCGTCCCCGAATGGATCACCCACGTCGCCGCGGTCCAAGGCGGATCAGTGACCACGGGCCTTAAGAACGAAATTCTCGCCGAATTCAACAAGGACGCAGGCACGCAGGTCGCACCTACCACTCGGGACGATCGGTGGCGCGCTGTTGTCCCGAGAGCACAGCGCCCGGTGCTTGTCCACATGCAAAACGTCAACGTCAGGTATCATGAACGGCATGTACGGCTCTAGCCCACTTCTTGAAATTCAGGCAGATGTCTCATCTTCGCCGCCTAGGTCCTCAAGGACATAAACTGGAAAATCCACGCCGGCGACCGGTGGCATCTCCAAGGCCCCAACGGTGAGCCCGTACACGTCTTTACCATGAGAATTCAACCTTATCTATGCCCTGCCACAGGCTCCGGGAAAACGACCCTGCTCTCCCTCCTCACCGGCGAGCATCCGCAATCGTACACCCAGCGCCCGCCCCACTCCTCGCTCACCCTCTTCGGCCGCGCGCGCGCACAGCACGCAACGACGCAGCTCGCAGGCCGCGTCGGCGTCGTCTCGCCCGAGCTGTACAACGCCTTCCCGCGGCGGCGCGCGCTGAGCGTGCGCGAGGCGGTCGGCACGGGGTTCCGCGGGACGTTCGTGCCCGGCGCGCTGAGCGCGGCGGAGGACGAGCGGGTGCGCGAGGTGGTCGCGGCGCTCGCGCCGCGCGGGGCGTTTGCGGAGAGGAGCTTTGCGGACCTGTCCGCGGGCGAGCAGGGCGTCGTCCTGCTCATGCGCGCGCTGGTCGGCCGGCCGCCGCTCGTCATCCTGGACGAGGTGTGGGCGGGGATGGACGGGGCGATGATCGAGGCTGCGCGGCGGTACCTCAGGAATGGCGGGGTGGGTGAGGAGCAGGCGGTGGTGGTGGTCACGCATTGGGAGGAGGAGGTCCCCTGGAGCCGGGAGGAGGAGGGTTTCCGACAGTTTCGGTTGCAGGACGGGACTGGGATAGAGGTCCACTGAAACTGGTCGTGAGTTTTTGGGGAGCTCTAGTGTGTACGATCCTTGCCGTCTAGACCAGGTTTCACGTCTGATTGTGTCTTACGATGTAAATACAGGATCCTAGACATACATTTGGCATACATACAGAGCGACGTGAAACCATGACAGTCTATTCCTAGCATATAGGCGTATTCTGGTTCTGTGCTTACCCTTTTTGTACGGCGTCCGTGTCCTTCAGTGAGACGCGGTGCATTTTGGCTTTTTGTTGAGTCTTTTTTCCAATTGGGACACGCCAGGTAAGTGCTATGACAGCCTTCCATCGAGCTAAATTGACATTTCACAACCTAGAGCCCCAATCCAGAGGAAGTACACGAACTACCATTCAGAATAGTAGTGGTTCCATTAGCTTTCGCGAACCACTGTACTCACGCACGCCTTTGGCGTCGACGAAGACATGGGTCACGGGAAGATAAAGAACAAGGTGTGTCTAGTTCTCGGTTCCAAGCACAACTACACATTAGGGCTCGTACAATATTAACATAAGCATACAAACGTGGGTATATCATCACGTCTCAACGTCCTCCACGCCCGTGTATGTTCGTCAAGAAACGCATCATCGTCAACGGCCTTCGTTGGGGAAACTGGTGGGAAACGACCGGGCGACGGACTGCTTAGTACGCAGCGGTCGTCCCTGCTCCCCTGCGTCCTCCAAAATTGAAGCGATGTGTACCTGTGCGCCTCGATGAGCGACGTGCTGGCAGGCAGAAGTTGCAGCAGATGATGTCGAGGATGATGTCGATGATCGTGACAATGATCTGAACGCATCACAGTCATGAGTGTCTGCGAACGTTCGAAGGTAGAGGCTATGGTACTTACCGTTACGATCAGGGAAACGATGGTCATAAGGATGGAGGCAATGGCGGAGATGATGGCGTTAATGGCACCACCGATAGCAGAGAATATGGCACCCTACATCGCAGCACGGTCGTCAGCACCGCTCGCCTTGCCAACACAACGAATAACACTCACCATGATGATTATTTGTTCGTAAAAAGCGTGTGTGGATGTCGTCTAAGAGGTGTGGTGTTACGAGTCGGTGAGGAAACCTCAGGGCAGGTGGTGTTTATATAGGAGAGGCGCGGGGTGATAGGGAGGCGGGTCTCCACCGAGTAGAGTTTGTATGACGTGAACGGGCTGGAGTACACAGGAAGCGTCCAGAGTTGGAATTTGCGTTTGCGGAGTCGCTGAGCCAGTCGTCCCTGCCATTCCGGGGCCGCCGGTGGGGACGATGCCGCCGGCTGGTTGCCTGCGGCGGCAAAGGATGCGATGTCGATAGCTCGAGGACGCCAACGTCGACGTGCACGGCGCTGAGGGACATGTCGCCACAGTTGGTCGGTGACGTCACACAGCACTACGTCATTGCAAGCTCGGATCTTCCGGACTTCTTCCGGAGGCGCTCCGTCCTCCTCTGGGTGCTGTTCTATCACTGACGTCCGGCTGACGCTGCTCTGTATCGAAAATTTCTTGCAACGCCTTTGCCAGCAGGCTCTTGACGTCTGCGATACCGCGCGCGCTGACTGCTTTGGCGTCAATATCCATGCAGTTGCTTGATCTGGCCCCGACTGATGGCGAGTCGTGTGAGGTTCCGGAGCCTTCACATCGGGAATACGCATGCCACGTGGTCACGTGGCCGAAGCGGACGGAAAAGCCAAGGGTATTTGGCCCTATTGTTTCTTTCACTCTTTGGTATCGTGTCGCATGCGACGGTCTCTCTGTTTCATACTGGTCTACTGGCTTTCGTATAAAAGGGTGAGCGTTTGTACTGTACGACAGAGCACTACGAATCGAGTACTGCTTACAACCGTCTTACTTCGACTCTGTGCGACGACCGAGTAACGTCACGCTATCCTCACATGCGGCGACTACTTACACGTCCAAAGCTTGTACATGTGAATTGCGACTCTAATCCTATGCAATGATAACTGACTACGGTTGCGAATGCAAGGTAACAAAATACAACACCTCCATAAGATGGAATGGATAAATAGGTTTAAGGAGAGTGCACTTGTACAACCCATAATTGATGAAGGTCCATGCGTGTTGGTTCAATGTGATAATAATGCTCTGTCCATGTGCGCGAACGTCGACGGCCGGGGCCGTTTCGGGACCCTCAAGGGTGAAGGCGGCCTGAGCCACGAAAGGTGATTTGTTTTGCCACTACGGTCCACGAAAGACGTCTCGATCGCCAATTGCGGTCGGGTGCCAGTCCTCTTGGATGGCGGCTCTACGGTTGTGGAAGATGTGACAGACTCCCGCTCGCTGGCACGCACAGCGAGCGACTGCGGGCGCGCCCCGCTGGATGGCGGCTCCACCACTGTAGATGACGTGGACGACTCCCGTCCAGCAGCACGCACTGCGAGCGACTCTGGCGGCTTTGTCTCTGTCCCTGGGGCAGGGGCAGGCTCAGGCGACGTGCCGCCGAGGCTCAGGCTCAGCGTCGACAGCGTGCATATGGAGGGCAGCACGGGCTTACTGAGGGAGCTCCGCGCGCTGCTCGACTTGGACTGCAGGTCGTCGAGCTTGAACTCGGGCATCGGCTCGTGCTCGAGAGCGGCTGTTATCGCGCGCAGGGTCAGGGGAGTCATAGGCGGCAGAGTGGGTATGCGCGGGGGCGGCGATTGGCGGTGTTGGAATTCGGTTACATCGGGGGGAGAGCTGTATGGCGGCGGCGCCATTTCCGCGTCGGCGCCCATGGTGTTCGCGTCCACAGCGGAGGGTAGGTAGACTGGGAGGGTGGATGATCCCGTGACTAACGTGGCGAAAGAGTCGTGGGTGCCGTTCGCTCCCTGCGCGACGGGGAACGGGGCGTCACGACCGCGCTTCGTTGGATGTCGTGGGCCTGAGGGTTTCCGAGTGGGAGGTGATGATAGAGGCCTTACCGAGCTTGGTAGACCACAACTCTTCCTCAAAGAAACCACGTTCTCCGCTGGTAGCGGAGCAGTCTCTGGGGGATCTCTGAAAGGCGAGTGTGCGAGCTCACCATTTGCGCTATGAACAGATCTTTGCACGCTCTTCTCGGGCACATGGATGTCAGACGCCACCACATCCGGATCTGTGGAGGAGGGCAGGCGGTCCGGTATACGTACAGTCGCTGCACTAACTGCTTGGGGAGACTGAGGCACCCTGGGCAGCGGAAGTGGTCGAATCGCACTCTGCCGGGTCCCACTATCAGATCGTGACCGCGTCGGTGCATGATCCTGTCCCGTCCTGGGAACCATCAACAGTGATGCTGACGGTGGCCGCCGGAGCGACATTAATCTGAGGCGGAGCGTGTCATCATCGTCCCGTGGTGTCGGTGGTAGAGGCGTTGTGGGAGGGGGATAGGGTGGTGGGGACGGTATGTGCGGGTATTCGAAGGGAAAGTGCAGGCTGGACCGGAACGGCCATCCCTGATCGTCCCGCTCATGCATGAAGGCGCGGATGGCGTCGGAGGAGCGCAGGACGGCAGCGGCCTGGGCCTGGCCAACGTTTTCCGACCCAGGTCGTGGTAGGGAGATCTTCCCGCTAATCGGCGGTGTTGTGATAACAGTAAATTGGGAAGACTGGGAGGATGTTATGGAGGGGAGGACGCCATGGCCATCTGAGGGCATCAGTGCATGTTGCGGGGCAGATTCAGTGGTGGCCGTGGACGTCTGGCTGCGGACCGTCTCTTTGCTATTAGATGATACCGAGGGATTGCTCGTTAGGGGACTCCGTTCAAAGGCTGAAATTAACCGGTGGCTTGGTACAAGCGACACCGGAGACGGTGGTCCAGCTTGGCGTACGTCCCGCGACGGCTCAGGAGGCACAACGACTGGGTCGACGACCACAGTCACTGAGCTCGTTTGCGCAGGTACCTGAGAGCTCAGGCGAGTAGACGCTTCGGTAGGATTTGATAAGCCAGATTGTGAGCTTTCCCGCTTTTCGATCAGCGGTTCCATCGGATGGCGAGGCAGTCCAGCCTTAGAACGAGGTGGATGCTCAGAGTTCAACTTGGGCGGATAAGAAACTGGCGGAGGCGTGATCTCCCTCCGTCCTGCTTGCGTTTCATATGGCCGCGGGGAACAGGGCAGCCCAGGTTTGGGATGCGAGATTGTCAAAACCTGGGGTGCTGACGGAGCCTCGTAGCTGCTCATAAATGGCTTCTTCTGGGGTGTGTATCAGCACGAGAATGGGCTACGATAAAAGTACCTACATTTGAGTACCCGGTTTCTCCGGTGGTGGTAGAGGCCCTATCCCAAGCCTGGGCACCATCGGCCGACTTCCGGAGCAGCGGCCCCTCGTCGTAGGACGACCTTATGATGGAGATATCGGACTCATCTACAGTAGGCTCATTGGTGTCAACCTTAGATTCGCGAGCATTGCCCGTGGCGTCATTGCTGGCCCTGACCGCACTGACCAGCGTAGACGTGCGCTGCCAAGTAGGGTTCGATACAGGGGATTGCAGAGACAAGGTGGCGACGTGCGACGAGACCTGCTCGACATCTCTCCGCATTCTTCGGTTCAGCCGACTACGGCGCCTTGCCCATGGCACAATCAGTAGGACCAGCAGGAGGACGAGGACCACGCATCCGACGACTATCCCGACAAGCCAGCCTACTGCGGCATGCCTGCCCGCCATTGCCAGTACGTCGATCAGAGGAGAAAGAGAGTTCCGTGCACGTCTTACGAGGGGGAAACATCTTTTCTGTCTGAGTGGGCGTAGTTCCTGTCAGATCTATCAATCAAGTCCCAGCATAGCCCTGTGCATTACTCCCAGGCGCTTCAAAATAGTTACCCGTCCTAAGGAAATACCTAAAAAAAAAAGGCGGCCGTCTGCAGCGCAGCAAGGCAGGTAGGCCATTAGCACACGGGAATCCGACATAGCAGGTGATATAGCCAGGAAGACTCGTCCGTATTGAAGGTAAGTAGTAGTGGCTTCGCTGTGGCTGAGGTCCTCGTGTACAATCAAGCGCAAACAAACAAGCATTATTGGTTCCGTCCTGCAATAGCCACTTACGATGGTCAACTATACTAATCGGCCTTCCAAGTAGGACGGGTATCCGGAGAGCAGTATGACAAAGGTTTGCAGTCGTTCACTTGGTTGGCTTGCCGTACTCAGAGCAGTATCAGTCACAGGAAGCTGCCTGTCAAGCCCAAGGTGAGCCCGTGCAGCAGTCGTGGCAGTACTCGATGGTAAAGACGCCGCTATTGAACGGATATCATAGCATGCGAACTGCAGTCATGCTTGAATAAGAATACGTACACTCCAGAGAAGTGCGAGAAGCACATGCGAGAGCTCTATCTGTGTTGCGACTCAATGTACAAGGCTACGCAGGATAAGGGCGAGTCATCTGCCTGTCCTATGCCCAGCGTCGTGAGGAGATGGTTGAAAAACCACCCCCAATAATATCTGGCTGGGTATGTGTCTTTATCCAGAGTGTTGGTCTCGTGTATCTGCTATAAACGCTGTTTCATGCAATGCCGCTACACCGTCAGTCGCAAGTACGTCTCTTATGTTTCAGCGACCGAGGAAGCGCTGATGGCTAATTGTAATAATAATAATAGGCATGGTTCATCTACTATAGGCCTTCGCCGCTTGTCAATAGTCCGTATCGTCCATGGTCTGTGCGCATATAATGTACAATAAAGAAAAGAAGGCAGCACCTCTCAGCGCCGGCGGCCAACGGTGGTCACTTCTCCCCGTCCCATTCGACCATGGATTCCAGGACAACCTTAGGCTTCACCAGGCAGGTGTCTTTCCACTCCTCGACCCCGTCCGCACTCGTGACTCTCTCCATGCGCCCGAGCCCGAGCTCTGTCGTGCTCAGGACCCTGATTAAGTCTTCGCTCTCAGCCTTGTCCGCCTCGTGCTCCGTGTCAATATCATCCATCCACGTAGGATCGTAAGCCTCCTCGGGCGACACCCACGTAACCTCGTAGTCGCCCGAGAGGATCTCCTGGCCGATGGTTTTGTTGACCTTCAGCGCGAGCGTGATGACTCCCTTTATCTTGTCCATGAACTTATTTTTCATCGTCTCGGTGATTTGCTTCAGCGGCGCCTTGCAGCCGGCGACGAGGAGAATGTCCGTCAGACGCTCCGCAATTCGCGGAACGAGACTGGTGGCGATGTCACCGTCGCCATGGACGACGGACTGAATGTGTTTGCGCGTTAGCGACCGCCATCTTCGTGCGACAGCCAAAGCCTCTGATGAGACACGACCGGTTGGTGAGCTCAGAATTTTACTCTTGAATGAGGCATCCGAACTCACCGGTTTCCCGCATATGATAGTAGACGTCGTCATATATATCGCCAATTATTTCGGCCTCCTTCGATAGGTCGAAATACCAGCATCGCACCGTCCAGTGCGCATACATCGACATCGTGCCCTGGAAGGCGACCTGCACGATCGTAGCGTCGTCCGTATCCTGCAGGAGCTGCGTCATCGGGCGCCCCAGCGCATGTTCTGCCCACTCCCGTGCCGCGGCGCCGTGCTGGCTCGGGTCGATCGTGTGCTCGGCGTATTTGTACGAGTCGGCGATGAGCTGAGAGACCTGGTGGATCTCGGCGTTGAGGTCTTGGACCAGCTGGATAACGTCTTTCTCCGGGACGCAGTCCGGTGTGGCCAAGAAGTGGTCCGCAACCTTTGCTTCGTCCGAGCTGCTACCCGAGGACGCCTGTACCTTGCCCGCCTTTTGCTGCGCCGAAGGAGCGGGGACGTGCTTGTCGACCTCAGTCTTCGTCTTCTTCAGTTCTGCGTCCCGACGTTTGACCTGTTCCTCGAGTATCCGCACTCGGTCGGCAAGGCGGATCGACTCCAGCTTCTTCTGCTCCAGATCCTGCTGCAAGGCCTTTTTTGCCTTATCCTCCTCTTCCAAGCGCTTCTCGGCAGAAGCCTTTGCCGCCCGTACGGCGTCCAACTCTGCCCTCAGCGCTTCGGACGACCTCCTCATCTCCTCCGCTCCTTGCCTGAGACCCTCAGCATCCAAGTCAGCAGCATCACCAGTACATTTCGCATACCCATTGCCGTCTGCCTGTTCTATCCTGGAGTGCCCGTTCTCTGGCTTCCCAGCGGGCGTGCGAGTAAAATAATACGACACAAAATTGCGCAGGCCCATAGTGTAGGAGAATATCCAGGAGAGGCTCTGCGACATAGTGCTGACCGGCAGCCGAGTTATACGCGGGAAGACTGAATTGACGCTCGCCCGCCTCGGTTTCCAGTCGTTATGAGAGCCCGCGCCTCGCGTTCTCGCTGCGATCAGGTCGTGTTCTACGGTCGCAGCGGGAACACGGGGACGAGGGCGTGTGCTCAGTCTATAGTCAGGATATTAACGCTGGCACGCCTTATCATTTCCTTTCTCTCCACATTACGCGCAAGCTGAATATAGGTTCGTCTCAATAGTAATAGTTCATACCAGTATTACTGTCAACCTTCGCTACCAGTATTGCAGTTGACCGAACAGCATAGTCACGACTGTGTCGGCCTAGACAGACCGATGCGCGCCTTGCCATACGCGCTCAGCACTACAGCGCGGTCGATTGCATTAATCCTCTCGAGTTATTTCCATCACTTCCTAACCTTATTCATGGGTGGGTTTTCGGATGGACTCTGCGGGCGCGTAGCCTCGTGGCGTGAAGTCGGACGCCGGGTGTATGCCATGCTACTATACTTATTGGTGCTTCGGAGGGTGGGTTGTATCGTCAGAGACGGCTATTCCCTTCCCTAGTGTGGTGCGGCGGACATGCATCGAAGCACAGCTATGCAGCGCAACGCCCGATGTGATCATGAGGAGATGACATGCACAAGCTCTAGTATACGTAGTTGAAGTGCAGTTGGACGAGCCTATTGATCTTTCCCCCTTCTCTATAATAATGTGCATTGTGATAGACATGAGCTTGAACTGAGGTTCCAAGCTGGGTGAAGATGGATTGTGTATTCGTATATTACATGCTTAGATGGGACACGAAGCTTACGGGAGAGCCATATCTGGCTGTATACAGACAACGAAAACCGGAACTATGTATGATACGCGGGGACAGAGGACAGATGACACAAGTAGTCGAGCGCCATTAGCTAGAATATGACGCCCCCGGGCTTTGTTATCCTGGCTAGTGATGCCGCAGTTCGGTTCCCGAACCTGGGAGAACCCGTTCAAACCCCGAACCGGACTCAGGTTCTGGTCCGCGGTCCAGCTTTCGTGAGGACCGAACCTGAAATGAGGTTCAGAGGGTGCCAGACACCCGAACCTTATCCAAATATGGTAACTTTTGGCGGTTCGAACCAGAATCTGACTGGACACAAGGCCATTTCAGGTTCTTTGAGGTTCAAGGTCCGGGAAATCACCCGAACCGGACCTGTGGCCTGGTTCCGGGTTCAGAATTTTTGGCCGATAACCGGACCGAGCCGGACCGCGGCATCACTAATCCTGGCCGTGGAGGAGCGTATTGGTTTGCCTAAGCTTGACTGCATGACGCTTCCAATTCGACATCTTGGAAAGGTAGACGACCAGTCGTTATGAGTTGAAACATCGTGATGGATAAGTCCGGCGGAGGACACTTGGAGGCAGCAGAAAACTTGTATGACCACGCCCAGAGACTGAACTCCGTATCCGCCCGAGCAAGACTACACCACGAAGTCTGCTACAGGTGCTGTGCAGGTGCAGCTCGCGCCGGCGCCACGGGATAATCCCACGGCCCCTCCCACCGCTTCGCACATGCCACGCATGTTATCTGAATAATGTATGCATGGTGCACCCACATCAGCTGTGTTGCAGATGTGAATGCAGCTGAGGAACAGCAACTTCATTATTCTGATTTATTCTTCTATTATTTGTTCCTTCATCTGCTCATTCAGGAGCCACAACAAATGTGAGCATGTATGGTATATATTTCACTACTGAATGGTACACAATACAAGAGACATGCCATCCACCAGTAACTACCTTCAATGTCCCTGAGTCACACTGCCAGAAGTACAATCCTTTCCCCAGTGCTCCATGTGTCTACTCCATATCTGCGAGCACACATCAACATGAAGCTAACATGAGACCGATATTAACATACAGCCACACCCTGGTTATTGCTCCCAATGCCGGAGAGCCCACACATTACAGAGCTAGTCTGGGTAAAGGAACCATTGTTATCAGGCAATATGCAAGCACAGCATAGCATAACCCAGTGAACATACCTTGCAAACCACACAATCTCCAAAACATCAATGATAGTCCCACCCACCACTGGGTACCACCCCTGTCGAGCATGAAATTACACCTTATAGCACACCAGGACAGGAGCTTACCTAGAGAACCTTGAGCAACAAGATAGTCGACGTGTCAAAAACGCGGCCACGACAACAAATGCGATAAGCACAAACAGCGATTTGCCGTGAGGCCGGAATGGTGGGCGCCGATGGAGAGGGAAGGATAGACCCTCGCTGGCAGTCCTAGGCAAGACACGGGAATGCGTTCAGGCGCATCATTCGTGACAGCACAAGAGTGAGAGGCGAAGTTCAAGTTGGAGAGCAGGAGAACGTACGAAAACGACGCAAGTCAACAGATTGAACCGTCATGTGACTATGTCTCACGAGCCACGGGGCGATCTGCAACACAGGCGGGCAGCTCTGCTGCACCGCACATGGACTGCTGCCGGGACCCAGACGGTTGCTCCCGTGTATATCGGAAACCTGTTCCATCTGCTCGACGGCTGAGATGCACCGGATTGTCCCAGAATCAGTCCTATGCAAGCCCTATTCCGGAGACTTACGGGTTACAGCCAACCAGCCGCTGCTTCTCTGATGGGAGCCACTCGTGTGACCCAGAAGTGGCTTCCAGCTGTCACACACCTTCGCGAGACTTGGTGGTGTAGTAAGGACAATACTGTCAGTGATCCATGGTTGGGTAGTGACTTATAATTAACGGCTTCAGAGACGTACCATGATTGTGGAAGAGTGTGGGAAGTAGAATACAAAGCCAAAGATGAAACAGATGATCAAAGGAGTGTACGTGGCATTCCGTGCCAGGCGGTGAAGGAGCGGATGGCGCAAGTTGGCCAGATCACGAACGTGGATAAGTTGGGGTCGTCCATGACGCTTCACAAATGACGCGAATAGTCAAAAGCCAGACATCGCAATCTGCGGAGCATCGCAACACTAGTGATGCCGCAGTCCAGTTCCCGAACCTGGGAGAACCGGTTCGAACCTTGGACCGGATCCAGGTTCTGGTCCGCGGTTTGGCTTTGGGGTGGACCGAACCTGAAATGAGGTCCAGGTGGAGCCACAATGCCCGAACCGTACCTAAATATGGTAATTTTGAAGGGTTTGAACCCGAACCTGACCAGACCCAATGCCATTTCAGGTTCTTTGAGGTTCACAGTCCGGACATTTACCCGAACTTGACCTTGGGTCCAGTCCCAGGTCTGGAAATTTGGGCCAATAACCGGACCGAGCCGGACCGCGGCATCACTACGCAACACAGGGAAGGGGAATGAGGTGAATGAATCCAGAAAGCAGTGCTGTGGGGATGAGTGGGCTGAGGAATATTGGGTTGATGCTGCCTGATTGCCTGAGCGGTAGGAGATGGAACGGGTAATAAAAGAGTGTAGCAGGAGTTTGGACAGTCCCGCCGCTCGAAGGAATGTTTTGAAATGAGTGACTAGTTGGACGCCGGACCAAGATGTTTATTTTCTTTTCTGGGGACTCGTTGATATGCACTGACACACAACAATCACCAAGGACCAAAAGAAATAAACCTAACACCAGCGGTATGGGTGGAGGCGGTCCAAGACAACTAAGGGGTATTTTAATAGTTCGAGGGGGAAGGAGGAGTAAGACGTCGTAGGGTAGTCCATAGGAAGACCTAGAAAAATAAAACAAATACTTTGACACCTAAAAACAAATGCTAGTCGATGCTCCGGAGTCTTTATCTCCGAAGAGTCACAATCAAAGTCGCAAGCAACGACACCTGTCGTAGGATCGTGCTCGTGGGGGTAGAAATTGCTAGAGAGACTGGGTTAATTTTATTTTGCTATTTAGGACGCACTGGAGATAATTAAACCGATGGCGGAGATAAATTACTCGACGAGTCAGGCCTATTGGCAAAGCTAGGATCAGTTATAATTTGCTAAGTTCAATGCTTTCGAACTTCAAGGGTCGCTGAGATCGTAATGCTAATTCTCTGAGATGGTGAAGTACAAAAGTTGTTTTTCTGTACGCTACTTTGTACAATTTATATTACAGGAATGGCTTTGCGACCATCCGGAGATAAATAACAAATAAATGCCGCTACCCACAGGATTGCTCAGCACTTGCCTCCGTTATATCATATACCATATACCATATGACTCCCTTGTGCTCCCACTTGCTCGTTCCAGCCCCTATAGGTCACCTCAACGCTCCGCCACCTGACCCAAGCAGTCCCATCACTCCGTGCGACGCGCTGGTCACGTGCTAATTACCTCCGGCCGCTTGCTGACTGATGCTGACCTCATGGTGACTTGTATACGTCCGCACCTTCGGTATCTTGATGGAAACAAGGGGGAGTGAGTGCTGGAGGGTGGGCATGAGGATGACGCCCCTTGATAGAAGTGTCCGTGGGCCCTGGAGCTAATTCATCTAGAAATCGCATTGGTTAAGTCGCTCCAGAGCTTGCATTTGCGGAGATAAATCGTGGAATGGGTCTGTGTATGTCTCGGGGATGCTAGGAAGTCCGGAGCTAAATAGAAGAATTCTTTTAGAGTCCATAGAAGCCTAGAGGCATGTGAGCGATGTGTCCAATAAGCTCCGGAGGGCTTGTACGATGTGCTGAGTCCGCGTTTTCGGGGGTTAGACGATCCTGAGGCTTATCATCGTATCTAAGGTTTTTGTTTTTGCTGCTTATCTTCTTCTTTCTGTTGTGTGATGTTGCAAACGCAGCCTAAACACAGCCAGGAACATACCTTGGAAGAAACAAAAGAAGGCATAGGGTGTTATGGTTTTTGTCATTTTCTTGAACTGACAACGGTCCGTTAGTGGCAATAGTGCAAGTGTGACCGAGATACGCACCACATTAGAGACAGTAGAAAAAAAGGGGGGGCATAGGGCATAGATGTGGGCATAGAATACATGTGCTTTCGTTATTTTCTTCGACTGTTGATTGCACCTTTATTACAGCGTTGAAGTTGCCATCCATGCTTGCTTGGGTGGTTCAACAAGAGAAAGGGAGTCCACCCGTTCGTCAGCCTTTTGAACCAGTCCGTAGGTGGTTGACATGTCAGTCAACATCGCAATAGATGTTGGCTGAAATGTACCCTTTGCAGCTCGTCCAGTTGTATTTCCAAGGGCGATGCATACACTTACAGACGCGTCGCGGGCGCGTCCACCGTGGACGGGCGGACTCCCAGGGACTTCATTGCCACAGACGGTACTATACACCCCGAATATCAAAAACGGCGGCACACAACGTCGAGTGGACGTAATTATTGCGTTCAGCTGCGAGACCAATCTACGGAGACCAATCTACGTGTATGGTAGCAATGCCACGAGCGTACGATATATTGCAGAATATGAGGGAACCAGAGAGCACGACAAGAGCTGCAGATCAGGTTCACAGCAAGGTGAGATAAATCATGCATACGACAAGTGAATAGTGTCCGAAGCGCACTGAGAGACGTGACGATATAAGCAGCTACACGGCCCAGCCATATAGTCCGTGACGAGAGATCACCGCACAGTCCGTCCAGGACCTGGCGTTGTAGTTCCTACAAAGTTGATACTAGCCTGCCTCGGCATAGATAGCGGGAGGCGTGTTTCGTGAAGCGTGGGCGTCTGGATAGCATCTGATGGTCGTAAGTGCGCGCGCTTGGACGAACGCGAATCCGTTGGCGGTGCAGAGGCACCTGGGCGGAGCGCTCGTGGTGGTCGTGAATTCGAGGGCTGCGATCGTAATGAAACGTCCGTTCGGGAATCATTGGGAGAGAACTCTTCGGCCGCGGTAGCGTATGTCGCAGTAGACGCGGTGAACGAGGGATAGTGGTGCAGAGCGCCTGAGGACGAGGGGGAAGAAGCTGTAGACTGCGTGCTGATAGAGCGCAGACTGTTCCGGAATGCGGTCGTTAGAGGTTGCGTGACAAGGCGTGCCATAGCAGAGGGACGACGGAAGGAGGGAATTTGCAGGCCCCCCTCTGGACTGAGCGTTCGAGCGCGAGAGGTGTCGTCTCCTGATGACAGATCAGACTGCTCCACCAGTGTCTCCATCGGAGCACGTCGCAGTCCAAGCCTGGCTCTGCTCTTGGAACGACTCGAATTATCGGAAGCCTTCGCACCAGGAACTGGCTGGGGTTGTGGTGGCTGTGAGGGCAAGGGTATCGGCGCTCTAACTTGGGCACCCGGAGAAGCTTGTTCGACGGGGGGATGATATGACGGAGGAGGGCTCTCTTGGTACTCGGGCGACCCGCGATGTGAGGTATGACTCCTCGGCTTTTGCGGGAACCCTTTCTCAGCTGTATGATCTGAGCTTTCCTTCCCGTGGTCATGGTCCGTCACCGACGGAAGGTTCCCGGACTCTCCAAACAAGGGGGACACGGGGTTGAGTAATGGCAACTCGGCATCCAGAGCAGACTTCGTTCGAGTATGTGATACCTTTCCACTCTGCTGCTCGACATCTACCTTGGATAGTCGCACCTGGGTCATGCGGCGTCTCGCAAGGGGTACGACGATGATGACCAGCAGTAGCACTGCAACTACGACTGCCACGATGATACCAGCGAGGACCCCTCCATTGACCGTTTGTGAAGCCATGTCGTCCGTGAGTGTCTAGACACTCAACAGTTATACCTATGAAGAAATCAGCTACTATGCGCGCGTCAATGAAAGGGTCCGACGTACGTGACTTGACAAATCTGTTTCCTTTCCCTCTCAACTCAGGCTCGACGTCGTCGAACTATCGCAGAAGTTGTATGCCAGCGAACGTACAGGGACTGCACCGAATCCTATGACCGTTTCCAACTGCAGTGCGGCGATGATCTACAGCCTGAAGACGTCAGACAGCTGCTGTCCCATCAAAATATGGAGCTGTCGGTCGGAACACTCGCGCAGCGCTCGCACAGCTTCAGCGTAAGAGAGAGAGCATAATCCAACATGCGTCGACGGACTGCCAGAGCATCGGACACTGCGGGGACCATTGCGTGGGTAGAGGATCGCCTCAAAGTGGCCAAGATCCTCACGACACAAGTTAGAGTTCGGAAGAAGCGGGTGCGCGTTTACGGCAAGTCTCCCTGATGACCGTGATCATGAGTGTGGCTTTTCGTATCGGACGTAGAGGGATAAACGACAGTTGCAAGATTTTGCATGGGGATATAAGGCGAACACTAACGTTTCCAGCGTTGCCGTTTGGTAGCTAAGCGACGACGCAGATCTACGGATAAATGCAGCTACATACTTGGGTCAGATCGACGGACGAAACATTGACGGAAAGCATTTCGACAGCAAGCACGACAACAGTTAGACCCAGAACAACAAACGATATTTCAGAGCATGTCAAGAAAGATCATAACGACCCGCATATCGTCCTCTATTGCAAATGAGCGTTCACTGCGGAGAAGTTCAGGATACCTTAAGACCACGGTGTCTTAGGAACATCGCCCCATCCGCTGCCCGCGACACTGGGCGCACGACTCACAACGGGCTGGGGCTTACTAGAACTGGCCTTGGCATTCTTCTTCTTTTTATTCTTATTGCTGGAAGAAGCAGGAGTGAGAGGAAACTCCTGGTCGACAAGATCAGCCCAGCTAGCCTTCCCGGCAGACTTCACGGGCCTATGGGAAGTCTCGCTGGGCCGCTTGCCGCCACTCGAAGGCTGAATGTCCCAAGGCGTCGGCCCCACAGCGCTTTCCGTGGCCCAGCGGTCGGGCACCTCGGAAACAGCAGTGGAAGGAGCGGTGGCGCCCTGGACACTCTCGGCATCCCAGGGAGTTTTGCCAACAACGCTTTCTGTGGCCCAGCGGTCGGACGCCACAGAAGCAGCGCTCGACTGGGTGGCGGTGGGACCGAGTACCCCCTGGATGCCTTGAACGTCCCAAGGAGTCGTACCAACGACGCTGTCCGTGGCCCATCGGTCAGATGCCACGGAAGCAGTGCTGGACTGAGGGGCGACAGGATTGCCCGGCACCTGGTTGGTTTGAACGCCCCACGACATCTTGCTTACGGCGCTGCCAGTAGCGCCGCGATCGCCTCCGTTCACATTGCTGGAGTCCGAGGTGGTGACAGAGTTCATAGCTCCGATCCGAGTCTCGCTAGGCTTGATAGCCCAGGGGGCTTTGTTCCGGGCGCTTTTAGTGGTCCAGCCATCACCTTGCTTAATACCTGATGCGTCCGAGCTGGGGCTGCGTTGCACCGCACTGATTTGAGTCTTGCCGGATTGTACATCCCAAGGGGTTTTGCTTACTGCACTACCCACGCCCCAACCCTTTCCTCCGCTCGTTGCAGAGCTCCTGTTAGATTCAGACGAGTCTGAACTGGAAACTGAACCAGAGCCGGAGTTCGGCGTAGAAACGGGCTGAGGGACTCGCCATGTCTTTGCAGTCGACACATTACCGGTAACACGGCTGTTGGACTTGAATCCCCGACCACGGTTAGACCCTATATGCAGTAAATAAAGCATGACATAATGAGAAATGAATATCAACACCCAACCTCGCATACGCACCTGCTCCTCGGCCCCTTCCGCGACCCCGTCCCCGCTGAGCCTGCGCAGCTTCCCGCTCGCGTCTCTCCTTCTCCTTAATGATCCGTGCGCGTTCCTTGCATATGCCCTTTGAACACGTCGCGCCGTGCGCAGGGCATAACTCCTCAGGTTCCGACCCGGAATCCTGCTCACCATATCCGCCCCAGAGGTTCTCACCCGGGTCTACAGGCCTCGGCGCCATGTCGGCCGCTTCCAAGACATCCGGACCAAGCTGCCAGTCGGCGGTATAGTCAGCATAAGCCTCTGCATCCATGGGGGATCCCACGGGCTCGGAGAGCATAACACAGGGGAAATAATCCTCCTGTTCGTTCAACGGAGGCGCCAGGTCGGCGCGCTTACTTGGGTGTACCAAGCCGGGTGGGGCGCCGATGTCCCAGAGCGAATCACCGGCTGGTATTATTGCGGGCGAGACGTCCTGTGGCTGCTCGAGGACTATGCACACCGACGTTGGGCTTGGCGTGGCTAGCGAGCGGTCGTCGCTACTGCCGGAAGAGGAGCGGCTCGGCGGTGAGATGCCCCCTACGAAACAAACCGTGTGAATGCCAGTAGAACATGGCGGTAACCTGAGTCTTACATAGATGTACATCCCCGCGTTCCCCAGGTGGTCCAGCCTTGTCTTTCTGCATATTCTTCGGTGCCTGCACCCCGCCTACTGTGGGGGGAGCCTTGGGCACCGAATTTTTTTTCTTAGCGGCTAGCCATTCCGCTGACCCAGCTGCAGTGGGCATGTTAGAGCAGAGCATCTCCGAGCTTGTCAAGAGTACTTACCAGGTGGCAGTTTGGGAGCGGGCGGAGGAGGAAAGAGGGCTACTGGAAGAGCCCTGCAAAGCGGTTCGTTTGTGATGTCCTCGGGCGGGAGCCCACATCTGTGGGTCCCGGGATAGGGATACTTCAACACACTTGCGCGAAGGTCAGTCCGCAAGCGTGACATAGGAAACAAAGTCACGACGTACGAGTTGTGCAAAAGCCACGTGTTGAACCACGCATCTTCGACCATCTTCCTCTTCCATCCTATGTGATAGTGGAATGAACAATGAGTATGCCACTAACAAGGTTCGGAAGCAATAAAGCACTCGCCATTCTTCTCTACGCCACGGGCGTGGCTCCATCGGCTGTAGTATATCTTACTGCTGCGAGCGACTTCATCGCAGTGCGGTTGCAGCAGGAACTCCGACCACTTATGTTCTCCGAGCAGCCGCTCATAGCTGGGGCAGGACCGATCTACTTCTATGATTACCATGTTGGGCGACTGTCAGGACAAAGAATGCAATGTTGCGGTTCATCCGATCACCCGATCCGTGAGTATTGGATTCAAACGGGGATAGTGCAATGACATACCGAAGGCTTATGGAACAGAGCAAACAGATACTTGGGATCTCCGAGTATGCATGCAATCCAAAAGCACAGCAGCTTTCTGTCCGTATCTAACTCCATGTTCGCATGGATGGGGTAGGGTTGGTAAATAGTGAAGTACTTCGGCTCAGACTTCCAGTCTGGCGGAGGCGTGGAGACTCGCTTCGGCATCTTCGAGCGAACTCTGTCGTTCAGTCAACGTTGCAGTATGGGGCAATTTCGACAGCAGAGGAGTCGATAGAGGGCTTCAGCCTTTGAGTTGAATGGTTGGCCTTATATACCTTCCTCTCGGCTACCCCTTTCAATCAGGCCATACTTCACTGAACAAAGCACGGGTGGCGACAGTGGACAAAGCGTCCTCGCCGAAAGATCAACGAAACGATAAGTGGCGATAGACGGCCAAAGTTTTACGAGAGACTCAGTCTATTACGAGCGCCACGCTTGGCAGCCGGGCTACTATGTTTGGCGCACTCACGCGCACCATGACGGAGACAGCGTCCTGTGGCTTGCTTGAGTCCACCGTGTCCTGCGTTGGCGTGTCTTAGCAAGGCGTGCATGACTGGCGACGGACAGTTGCCAATTCTGCAGACGTTGCCCTAACTGTTCTGGTCGACATGGCTGTCAAAGACTATTTTGCGAAAGTACTGGCGTTTCGCACTATTCCCACTACTGTCCTAGCTTTGATAATATATGTCGTACTTTTCCTTGCTGTTGGTGTTACCGACGACGTTCCGAAGATACCCAAGAACCTGCGTGGTTTGAATCTTACACAGGCAGACGTGGACTTGCATCTGGTAAGTATCGTTCTCTGTGGCTGCACTCCGGCACAAGATTAGGGGCCTCTGTTGCCACATTCGTTTTGGATCTGCTTCGTCCAGCTGCGTTGAACGGAGAGGACCAGGACGAACGGAGCCACACGTACTAGAAGGAGCGCTTCAGGCTATACGCAGTAACATGGATCCATGTTCAATTGTTCATTGCTTGGCCGGTGTTGTGCTGCTCCGCACAATCTCACCTCGTGCTAAGCCATACCACATATACGCCTTCTCCTTTGACCTGCAAACAATAGTCACGCGTACAGCTTCTAATTCTTTCACCAGATTACTGCACGCCCGCACCCTTACATCTCGCACTTCAACGACAAAGTCCGCGCCTACATCCTCTCCCGGGTGGAGGACATTGCATCCGCACACCCCGACTTTATTCACGTCGTCGATGACAACAAGTCCTCTGCGTCATGGGCGACCAAGGCGTCGCCACACGCGGTCTACTTCCAGGGGACGAACGTTCTAGTCAAGGTAGACGGTACTGATCCAAACTATTTCGACCGAGATGCAGTCCTCTTCTCGGCCCATTACGACTCCGTGTCAACAGCAGGTGGCGTGACGGACGACGGCATGGGTGTAGTTACCTTGCTGCAGATGATAGAGTATCTGGCCAGGAATCGGCCCAAGAAGACTGCGATATTCAACATCAATAATGGAGAAGAGGATGGTTTGAACGGCGCACACGCGTGAGTCTAGCTGGGAGCTATGCATGCATTGTAATGAACCGGCTTCCCAGATTCCTTGAGCATCCTTGGTCTAATATCACCACCACTTTTCTCAACCTCGAAGGTGCCGCCGCAGGAGGGTACGTATCTCCTTACTACCTTTGATTCTGCTCTAATCACCAATTTTCTAACGCAGGCGCCCAATCCTATTCCGCACCACCTCCCTGGGCGTGACCCGCGCATTCAGACACAAGCATGTCGCCCACCCACACAGCAACGTCATCGCGGCGGACGGCTACGCCACCGGCGTCCTGCGCTCATACACGGACTACTCCGTCTACGAGCAGCAGGGCCTGGAGGGGCTGGACTTTGCTTTTTACAAGGGCCGCAGCAAGTACCATACCAAGTACGATGCGGTCCCTACTACGGAGGGAGGGAGGCGGGCGTTGTGGGCGATGATGGATAGCACGAGGGGTGCGGGGTGGGCGCTGCTGAATGCGGGAGATGTGTCCACCGGCGGTGGGAAGGCCGTTTACTTCGACTGTGGGTAGTCATCCTGTCATACAACCATTGACATGGGCTGAATCCCATTCTTTGTAGTTCTTGGATCTCACTTGGTGCTCTTGACCCTTCGCGCCGAATTTATCTTGGATGTCATCTTGCTCGTTTTGGGGCCGATAACACTGATAATCTTTGGCGTTTTGATATATGCGCGAAGGCAGCGGGAGAGAGCCAACGCATTGATGGTCGGTGAACGTGCTGTGCCCGACAAGCATTGGGCAAGAGGTTGGGGCCGATTTTGGCTCGCCCTTGTCCTCGGGATCGGCGCTCAAGTCGGCCTTGTAGTCGGATACGTCCACCTCAATCCATTCGTGAGTTACTTGGTAGTTCCTGTGGGACTTGTCGTGCTTACGTATCATATATCAGATCATTCATTCGTCGCCTTTCCTAGTTCTAGCTTCGATCATGAGCCTCGCATATCTCGGACTTCTCCTCCCTCTCCGTCTCTTCGTCCGCCTGCTGCCCGTGCCCCCTGCCAAACAGAAACTAGCGATCATGCTAGAATTGTATCCGCTTACGTGGATCTTCCTAGTCGTTGCCACATTCGCCGCGAATAAGTGGCAGATCGCAGCCACGTACTGGGTGACTATGCTCAATCTCGCCACGCTCACGGGCTGCACAGTCGGTTTCTTGGAAGCTCTCTTTGGCGCAGGACACGCGGGCTTGGAGGAGGAGCGGGAGAGCAGGAGGTACGTCAGAGGTATCCGGTACGAAGTGGACGAGAATGGTGGAGGTGAGGAAGAGGGACGTGAGAATGAAGGCAGTGCTGTGAGTCCTGAGCGGGAAGGACATGGCGGGGAGATTGTGGACGAGGTCCCGACGGAGATCACGCCGCTGATGCATCAGCACCGAGTCCGCGATCGGGATGGGCGCGAGTATATCTCTACGGATGATGATCCTAGTACGTCGGCTTCACTCCCTGACATATGTGGTCGCTTACCTTCTGTTCCCCCGCAGGTAAGAAGCATGTCAAGGAGGAGACTGACGAGGCGATCGGCTGGTGGATAGTGCAGATGCTGTTCATGGTCTTTCTACCCGTCCTCTTGCTACTCCAGGTTGCCTTCTTGGTGGTCAATACGCTGGGTCAAAGCTTGGTGGATGGCAGCCCAGCCTGGGTCGGTAAGTGTTTCTTCCTTAAAGTTTGCCTTTGCCACGGTTGACCTTGCGGCTCAGTCTACGCAGGAACCTCAGTTATAGCTTTCTTGACCGTCCTCCCTCTGGCGCCATTCATGCATAAATTTCACCGAGGCCTCACTTTCGTCGTGGCCACGGTCTTCGTACTCTCTACTCTTTATGCTTGGGTCGCCTTCCCCTTCTCGCAAGATGCTCCGTTCAAGATGTTCTTCCAGCAGTCGGTGGAGATCGACGGAGGAAGTCAGCGTGCTGTCACGAGTATGCTGGGGTCGCGACATTACTTGAAGAAAGCCATAGCAGAGTTGCCATCTACGTACGGGAAGGCAGTCGACTGCCGTGACTCGAGTTTGAGGGAGGGTGTCACGACGTGTGCATGGGAGAGTGGCTTGCTGCCCCGTCCCAGATCTTTGGATGGCAGCGACAGCGAGATAAAGTGGATCTCGTTCAATGTGACACGGCTGAGCGAATCGAGCGCCGAGCTCGTGTTCTGGGGAACAAACACACGGGGCTGCAGGTTGTACTTCGACAACGGCCCCGTGCGGTATCTGCACGTCTACGAAGGTGACGGGGGGAAGAAACGCACGGACATGCAGCGCGGGTACGAGATCTCCGAGAAAGGGCTGGTCGACGTGAGGCTGTGGAGTCGTGAGTGGGAGGAGGAATTCAAGGTTGAGGTCGGGTGGGATCATGAGGGTGGGCTCGAGGGGCGCGTCGCGTGTGAGTGGGCGGAGTACGAGAGCGCTACAGCTGGAACAGGTTTACCCGCCACTGGAGCGAGTATACCGGCATTGGAGGAAGCGTTGGCTTTCTTGCCCAAGTGGGCCGTGTTGACAAAGGCGAATGATGGGCTTGTGGAAGTTTGGCAGAAGTTTTATATATAACGGATGTAGGTGTGATGGTCTTGATATACACGAGTCTTGATTCGCCCTACCCACCCAAAAGGGCTCATGCCACGCTATGGGTGAGTCGGTAGGGAAGGATAATCATATTGCATATGGCATAAAGGGCATAGAGGGCATACGGGGCATACAAGACATAGTAGCTCAATAGTAGCTATACACAGTCCGAAGTTACACACTGTTATACAGATTATATGCAAATACCAAATAAAACGTATCAAGCTCCATTTCCCAGGACCCTCCCAGGCCTGTAAAAGATGCCTCCGTTCAAAACCTCCCAGAACCGTGGGCGATCGTCCGGTATACCGATACGCACCGCCGCATAGGAGTGCAGCTTCCCCCATAAGCCGAGGAGGAACATCAGCACTCCACAGATGAAGAGGAACATGGAAATGCGGTTGTCCATGATCGTCCAGAATATGCGGGACGCGATGATGAGGCGAAGGCGACGTTCCCGCCATTTGACTCTCTCGGGAGACGGACAGTCTGCAACAATCGTGTTTACGCCACAATGAGTGAGTTGTACTGGTTATGGCGATGCGAATGACGTACCGACTACTTTGAGACGCCCGCCGTGCTCGGTGAGGGTGTGGACCGCGAGGGCCGAGAGCTTGTCTGGATTAGCGGGGTAGAATGGCTTGAAGCGCGTCGAACAGATGGGCTATGATAAGTCGCATTTTCAGTAGTGTGTCAGAGCCACATATATCCAGTGAAAGTGCGACTTACGATAATTTGGTCGGTGCCGAAATACTCTCTGACCATCTGGAGGTCCAGGTCACCTGTGTCCGAGTCAAGCGGAAAATCCCAAGTGACGAAGTTGAGCATGTCGTGTAGGTCATCGACAGCATCCAGGTTGGGGTAGAAGTCCACTCGGATATACCTGGACGCAGTCGCATCAGCTGCTGGGAGGTTAGTCAAATGGACGTACCCGTCAGGTGCTTGCTCGTCGAGCACTTGCTTTTCCGGATCGCGAGGGTCCCACTCTAGAGCTTCCTCGTACATTTCCTCGTACGTCCTTTCGAACAACAAGCGGAACCCAGACATTTGTTAGCAGACGAGGTGAAGACCTGCGGCGAGTTGGAGTGGCGAGTGCGGCAAGGTGAAGGAGCAGGACGAAGATGAAGAGGAGGGCAAACCACACCACACGTACCACAAGTTCAACTTGTTTATGTCAGCAGGATTTGCGATAGCAAGATCACTTTTGCGCACAGGCCATGATGGATGCGGCCACATCCGGGAGCCACAAGTGGAATGTCTAAAGAACCTACCGCATAGAGGATAACACTCGTTGCAACCAGCATAGCCTGTAGTGGAGGAAGTACTTCTGCCTTTATATCCTGTAAGGAATACAACGTGAACTTGACCTACGGGCTACAAACCCTTGGAAACGAGTATAAGCAAAGTACAACGCTTAAAGAATACAACGCACACATGGACCCACAAATGACCATATCGAGACATTGACCGCTATATTGAGAGCGTGCTTCTGATCAGATTTACTTCCGACATCTAGATCTCATGATTATTATCAGCGGACCCTCAGAAATCCTGCGAGATGACTTCCATAAAATACCAAGACCGGTCGAGGTGAAGCAAGCGAGCAGGCGAATAATAATAATATTAGCAATAATACATGTACGTCCATAAAACCATAAAGATACAAGTTACAAGTGTTGCCCGACATCCATAACTACGCCAGAGGTGGGTTGGGCGAGATCGCGTCCGGCGCCGTGCCCTCAGGAAGTTTTTTCTTCCTAGGCCTACCAACCGGGTTCTTCTTGACTGGTGGTGGAGGCGGCATGACAGGCTCGCTCGGTACCGGAGTCGCGGGAGCCAGGGGCCGACCGTTGGCACTGCTCGGGGCAGGCGTCGGCGGCACCGACGCAGTTCCAGATGGAGGAGGGGGAGGAGGTTTGGGCTTCTTCTTCGCAGCATTGGCGACATTCGGTTTCATCACCTGCCCGATGGGTCCGATCTTTGTACGAGCTGGCGCTGGCGCGTCGTCAGGCAAAGCTGGCTGAGGCGGAGCAAGGCCGAGAGTAGAAGGCCCGGCGGTGGTCGTGGCAAGCGCTGACAGCCGCTGCTGATAATACGGCTTGAGAAGACCGATTTGCTCGTCCACATTGCTTGCATCCAGTGGCAAGAACGGTGGTGGAGGGGGGAATGGTGGAGGGGGCTCGGCGGGCTTGGCTCTGTTAAGATACCGTTAATAAAAAGATACAACGACATATGCAGAACATAATACGTACGCCGCTGACGATATTGGTCCAGCTTTGTTCTTCCCCTTGAGAAGCCGTTTTGGCACACTGAGGCTTGAAAGACCAAGCTCATCAGCAATTCCAAGCTCCTTCAAGCCCAAGAAATCATCGCCGAGAGCATCCGCGAAATTACCCCTATTTGGCTGTGTTAGATATGTGCAAGGCGCAAGATAGACGACAACTATACATGACAAATGCGCTATCTTCGTTCTCGTCGTCTTCATGAGCGAATAGCGCATCGTCGTCCAGAGGCTCATCCGCCTGGCAAGCCGTTAGCCAGAGGCAGTTTCCGCAGGGATGAGCAGTACTTACCGCATCCGTGTAGGCGGTGACTAGTTTCTTCTCTAACTCGCCCAAACGACTGCCATAACGAATTACGTCGTCCTTGATATACCGCTCCAGGTCTTGTATCTTCGTGGTACCGCTCTCGAACAGGGTGTGCAGCATTATTTCCTAGGTCAGAAGAACATCAGTCAACGCGATATTGCTCCGACGCATTGGACATACTTCCGCAGTCATACTCCCAGAATACCTATCACACAGAAATCGAAGTGTTCGTCCAACATTCATAAAATATTCCGACGTAACCCCAGCTAAAACATCGAGTGCAGCCTTCGATGTGCCTTCCGACCCCAAACATTCCCATTAGTCATACAACAGACAGACCGCCTCTGGTGAAATAACATACCCTGAAATCCTGCATGCTCAAGGATCTTCTTTCCTGCCCAATGCAAGCAGTCGTCCGCAAGCTCCTCTCCCAGCTCCAAGCCTGCTGCGATAGGCTTCCACGGGCGCTCGTCCACGGTGTCGTCAATATCTGCCGCCACCGCCGACAAGTCTGGCGGCTCCGGCGCAATCGACGCGCCGCCCTCCTCATTCCCGCCCTGGTTCTGTTGCATCGTGCTGTTCAGCGCGGCGAGCTTCGCGTGTGCGCGCCGCACGCGCTTGATCGTGCGAATGTTGTCATTGAGCAGGTGCAACGTCGAATTAGTTTTATCGCTTGCCGCAGGCTCTCCAGCGCCTTTCTTCGACTTCTTCTTGGATTTCTTCTTCGCTATTGGGGGTTGGCCGTCCGGGTCTTGTTTTATCGGTCTTGACCACGAATCGAGATCACCCGAGGAGGCGCGTACGAGCTCGGGGTATCCGTTTGCCATGAAGTGCGGGGATTGCACGGCCATCCACCAGAGGTCGAGGGCATCCTGGTCTTGTTCGGAAGGGACATATGACTGTAAGCGGGTCCGCTTTCTGGGCCGCCCGTCCACGAGACCATTGCTACACGTCACTGTAGAAAACCAAAGTCCGCAAAGCTACGAAGAGAAGACTCACAGTTTGCGCTTGTCCCCCACTTGCCCGTCCACGGCCCACTGCTCAGGTGCCTGGTTCACGGCTGCGGGCACACCCATCACGACCTCTCTCAGCTTCTCCACCACGTACGCAGTGTCCCCGTGCTCTAGTTGCTCGTCCAGGTGTTTGAACAGCGCCATGCCCTCCGGGGTACGTTCGAACGCGGGAGAGTCGGAGAACGGGACGTCTGCGCTGGTCACACGGGCCGGAACGGTGACGGATTTTGGGGGCGGCTTCTTGGGAGCGGCAGCTTGAGGAGGGGATATGGGCGAGCGTGGCCGGACGACGCTGTTCACTATGATTCCGTTCGGTTTCGGGTGCGGCGCGACACGGATGTCGAGGGTGGAAGGGATGGGAGGGTCGATTCGTTCCTTGCGGTCCGTGATGTTCTTCAGCAGCCGCTCGGCTTTGGCTTTCAGCCGTGTAGCACATTGGCGGAGGGGATGATTCTGTGGGGGGTTGGTACTAGGAAAAGGATGGGGAGCCGCAGACGTACCTCTGCCGCATTGTATGTGAAACAGTTGGACCATATGAGGTCCAAGTCATCCTTGAATTCCTTCTTGGATTTGTACTGTTTCTGTTTGACCTTCTTCAGCATGGTTTGGAGGTCCATGGGGTTAGGGATGACTAACGACGTATCAGCTGCGGAATGGGAGACGGGGCACGTCTTGAAACGCACCTTCATAGTAGTCTGGAGCCTCCGCCTTAGAGACGGGCTTCAAGAAGGGTTCAGCATCCCGGTTATCCTGAAACTCTGTAAGAGACCTGAACCGCGGACACAGAAGGTGGCGCATACCACTGTAACCGTGCGCAAGTCATGCAGCAGATCCTCCAGCGCATCATAGAACGGGTCAGAGGCCTTTGGGTCATTGATGTTGCGCTACGAAGCGGTCAGGACGGATGATCAGCAGGAGAACCGGCGGTTACTCACGCGGCTCTCCTTCACGGTGGCCAAGAGCAGCTTGAGCTCTGGCTCGGGGAGCGAGGACTTGACATTGCTCTCGGTGAGCGTCCTCAGCAGATTCTGGCAGAAAGTTAGCTAAGTTGAATCCACAAAGCCTCTCCACTCACGTTCATGCTCCCTCCGCGTCGCCGGCTATGATGGAACGGAACAAGATAGCATTTAGAGCGGCGATTGCATTTCTCGCAAACTGCCGCCACAACTCACCTTAGCCACACCAGGTCTACGCTGCCACAACGGCTGAATCTTGAAGTCTGAACGCCGTCTGGAACGTGTGGAACGCTGGGAGAGTGAAGTGCTGCATGCCAACTGCATGCAGCGAACAATGGCAGCTGTGGCGGCGTTGTCACGGGATTTAATCAGGCTTGCCGTTTGGGGTAAAGGGACGCGTCCGCGACGCGTATTATGTAAGCGCGTCTCTCGCAGGTTGACCTTCTACTTGTCTGTGCCACAACGTCTGCTCTATAAAGCCCATGCAACATAACGAACTTTAGGCCTTTCTATCTATCAAGCTTACTATTACGACAACCACAGATCACGTACTATGTCTAGTTTCAAGAACTCCCCGTACGGCAAACGTCTACGGCAGACACGACAAGATGGCGAAGACGAGCCACACGAGCGCCCGCGACAGAAACCGCGTATAGACCACATATTCAGGACAGACAACCTGTCTACGCCTCCCCTGGACTCGGGAGATACATCGCGAAGTGACAGCGGCGGGCCAAACTCGCCTGTACAGGCCAGGATCGTCCGACAGTATGACGACAGATTTATACCGTCCAGAGACTTGGGCGATATGCGGACCGCGTATAACCTGCTCGAAGAAACACCTACGACGCCATCGAAGAATAGAATAATACCTTCGGAGTCGGATGCAGCAAAGGGTGAGTGATCCAGTCTTTTCATTCCCGTAGATAGCTTTCGTCTCCCTGAGGTGACAAGACGGGGTACGTCGCGTCGCGTCGTTCGTGTTACGTGCCACTATCGATGGTCAGATTGGTGGCTTGTGATGAGCAGCTATGCTGGAGCCATTTCACTCGGCCATCGACATGCCCGTGCCACTGTCGCCACATGTTGTATTGGGCCACCTATTTCAAGAAGATGCAAGACTGAAAAAGCAATAGCATGCGCATTGCCCAGGTGCAGCAGTTGGTAGGTTTGTTGGTGCCATGTAATCCACCACGTGTGGCAGAGCTTGGCATCTATGTGGGTAAACTCGGTTTGCCACAGTGTGGCAGATGGGTGCCGAGTTTTTGCACGTGTGTGAGTGATACCATACCCATATCCTCGCCCGTTAGCTTACTTATAGCAACCAGTTCAGTGCTCTTGAACCACGTGGCATGGAAACAGCAAAGAAAGTCACCTCAGGACTGTAGAATATCGGACAATCTGTGCCACATGGGTCTCCAAGAACCTTTCCACTGACATACTTTGATAGAGCAAGCGAACTCTCTATTCAATCAAGTCCTGCACAACGAAGTCACCCCAGCCACAACCGTTGCACCCACATCCCCGACCCGCGTTCGTTTTCAACCAGCTGGCGCAGCTCCAACCACACCAAGTAAAGGTCGTATCTTCAACTACTTCTCCACACCCGGGTCCGAGCCCTCGACACCTGGCAGACGTCTCGACAGCACCGCGGACCAGGCCTATGCGCTGAGTCCTGTGCGGCCCGATAGTCAAGCCATCCTTAACAGCCCAAGAAAACAGCTTCGGACGGTGCCGAAGACGCCGTATCGTGTTCTGGACGCGCCGGAGCTCGCAGACGATTTCTACCTCAATCTCGTGGACTGGTCGAGCACGAATGTCCTTGGAGTAGGCCTCGGGAGCTGTGTGTATCTATGGACTGCACATACAGCCGCGGTGTCGAAGCTATGCGATCTGGCGGCGAGGAACGATACTATAAGCTCAGTTTCCTGGGTACAACGGGTTAGTATCATAATACCAGTACAAGAGCCCTAGCTGACATCTTTTCAGGGCTCAACGCTCGCTGTCGGAACCCTCTCAGGGCGCCTACACATTTACGATGCGAACAAACTACAACTTCTACGGACGTACCAGAATGCGCACACCCAACGCATTGGCGCGCTCGCCTGGAACGACTGGATCCTCACCTCCGGATCGCGCGACCGCTACATCCATCACCGCGACGTCCGTGAGAAGAAGCAAGAGCCGTTTAAGCGGTTCCAAGGACACAAGCAAGAAGTATGCGGGCTCAAGTGGAGCTCGGATGGGGGCACAGAGTCCGCCTATCTAGCTAGTGGCGGCAACGACAATAAGGTGTGCATATGGGATGTGCGCGGGTCCAAGCGGCCCGGGCATGGGCGTCATTCGAGCAGGACGTCGTTGGCGGGGAACGACGAAGGTTCGTCGACGCAGGATGTGCCGCTGTGGAAGTTCCACGAGCATACCGCGGCTGTAAAGGCGCTCGCATGGGATCCGCACCAAGCGAATACGCTTGCGACGGGTGGCGGCACCCAAGACAAACACATCCGATTCTGGAATACTTCCACAGGATCCATGATCGAGGCGCTCGACACGGGTAGCCAGGTAAGCAGATTGACCAATCGCGTTGTGGAAGGTGCTGATTAGCGTGTTGCCGATGCAGGTGTGCAACTTGCTGTGGTCGCTCAACTCGCACGAGCTTGTGTCGACGCACGGTTTCTCGTCTGCGGCGGCGCAAAACCAGATCTGTCTGTGGAAGTACCCGCAGATGGACCAGGTCGCGTCGCTGAGTGGGCACACCCACCGGGTGCTCTACCTCGCGATGAGTCCCGACGGCGAGACGATCGTCACCGGCGCGGGCGACGAGACGCTTCGCTTCTGGAACGCCTTCCCCAAGAAGTCGAAGACGGATCAGTCGAAGGACAGTAAGCTCGACTTTTCCAAGCAGATGCGGTGAAGTATTATCGCCGCCACAGCACGTCGCATATCGCAGATTCTCCGATGCTTCTTTTCTTCCATATCCAACCCCATGGTAGCCTTCAAATCCCGGTTGCTGTCGAATCCCAGCAAGTCGTACCGATGTCGTTCGTTCTGGCTGCACTGTTATCCGTCTCGATGTCGTCACGTCTGCCTTGATGTCCCCGGGTCCACTGTCTATTTGTCAAGCTCGGACTTCAGCACTATTAAACCACACATACACGCACGATCAACCTCCTAGCATTATTGCCTAAGAATGTATCCTTCCCCTTCCTTTCCGTTTCATCCCCACTCGTATTGCTGCAGCTACACTCAGCTTCGTTTTATTGTCCATGCTTCTTCCGCTGTTTGTTTTGTACTATGGGTCCCTATTATTGTTACATGTTGCTTTTACGGTTCATGTCAAGTATATGCTTATTGCCATCGGAAATGTATATCACCTTGTTATGCCTTAGCTTCGACTGTGGAAGGGTCTCCTGTCTCCTGACTTGTGGCTGTCTCTGCGCCCAACTGCCTCGCGGCTATACCCACAGAAGGCACCACAGCTTGCACTGCATTGTGGCGATTCTTGCTGTTCCGCACCGCCTTTGATTATCGATAACCCTATATATACCATGCCTCGGACGAGCGCCACCGTCATTGTTGGTCCTTGCGATACGCAACGATATCGTTTCCTGCACTTGCTTGTTGATTGAGAAACATGTCCTATAACTACGGTGGTCAACAAGGAGTGAGTCCGTCTCTTTGTTTCATTTGGATGCAGATGTGAACACACAGTCTTTGCTGCAGTACGGTGGCGGAGGATACGCGCCTCCTGGTGGCGCTCCCCCTGGGTACGCTGGTCAACCAGGCGGATTTTCCGCTGGACCCCCTGCGGGACCGCCTCCAGGAGCCGACCCACAGTGAGTCTTGACAGTCATCTGCAGATCCCGTGTTCATGGCTTATCATTGAGGACCATAGATTATGGAACTGGTTTACCGCGGTAGACACCGACCGATCCGGGCAGATCAGCGTGTACGAGCTGGGTACGTGTAGGGCAATGGCGTGGCGCTAGAGATATCGCTCATTCTAAACAGAGAAGGCACTCATCAACGGAGATTGGACTCGTGCGTCATGTTGGGCACCTGTGAATCTAAAGGGGACTAAGGCTTTGCCGCAGCGTTCGATCTCGATACCGTAAAGATGCTCATGTCCATATTTGTGAGATACATAGTCGGCAGCTCTGTTGGATGCTTGACTGATGGCGCTCCTCAGGATACGGATAGGAGCGGAACTATTGGCTACAACGAGGTGAGCGATGATGTTCATAATACGCAGCGATACTGTCAGCTTACCATGGTACACAGTTCGCGGGGTTATGGAAATATATCAAGGTCTGGATGCATGTTGTACAATCGGGAGACGTGTACTCAAGCTGCGGATGCAGGACTGGCAAAACGTGTTCCGGCACTTTGACCGCGACCGCTCGGGTACAATCGACGGGGGCGAGCTCCAGGATGCTCTCAGGCAATTCGGGTATGTCACTGCACTTATAGACTAACTTCCCTCGATTGCTCATTTCGTGCAGGTTCAACCTGAGTCCCCAGCTCTTCCGCCTGGTCGAAAGGAAATACGGTAATGTCGCGCGCTCGTTCTTTGACCGTACATATGACTGACTGACCTACCCGGACGGGGTAGATATTAATCAAGCTACGGGACCACGGGGACCAGGAGGGCGCTCTCCCGGAGTCACCTTCGACCGCTTCGTACGCTGCTGCGTGGTCATCAAGCAACTTACCGAGTCCTTCCAGCGGCTCGACACAGATAGGGATGGCTGGATCCAGCTCAACTACGAACAGTTCCTGCAGACGGTCCTCAGTCTGCCGTAAGTTATACAAGCCAGTTGTACGATAATCGAGAAGAATTTCTTGGATATTCAGTCTGTAATGCTGAGCTGAACCTATCGCATTGTACAGTATTTTTCGAGAGATATGATGATAATTCTGCGCTGAAGTACGAAAAGAAGGATTCTCTGCCAGCCGACCACTGCCCTGAGGACTGAGACGATAATACCAATCACGATTGGACCAGTGGCACTGGCACTGGCACTGGCAGGTCGGACGCGTTAATCACGTGATGCAGGGAACTTCGTGTCGCGCGGCGCGTCGATCGGTCTGACATAGAGCAGGCGTCTCCTTCCGCGTTCATCTCCCCGACACAATCTGACATTACATTTACACTGCGAGCTATGGTGCTATTCTCGTCAACTATCAACTCAACTATCCGGTCTACTACAGACCTGGTCATACTATGCCATGCTAATAAGAGAGAGATCGTGCCTTTGCCAAAGACATATCAGGTCCGTGCGCTACGCACTTGTATGACAACTTGATTCAGATGTTGCACAGGACGCCATAGATATTGCGCGTGAAGTCTTTGGACTCGGCGGGAACGCAGAGCTTATTCTCAAGACCAGCGACCCCGACGCGTGCCGTGGTCAGCCTGCCGTGATCAACAAACGCGCCTGGGACTCGCTCCGCTCAGTCCTGGCAAACATTGAGGTTGAGGTGAAGGATGAACAACAGCGGAGTACATCCCGAGGTACGCATGCCACTGCCTTGACACCCCTCATACCACTCAGTTCCCGACCTCGGTCTCAGCGGAAACCACACACAGTGCAGGTGGTTCGGAATCAGACGTGGATGAGAATGAAGACTTCCTGGTCTTGAAGCCGTCCAAGTCCTCTCTCAAGGGCAAGGCTCGGTCGGCCACTAAGGACGAGGAGAATACGTCTAGTTTGGGCGTAGGAGCTGCCAGTGAGTCGGGCTCGTGGAGGGGGGCGAGCTCAGGGCCCTCGGAGACTGTGGAGGAGCCGGATCCTCGCTCTTCGATACGGGAACGTCAGCTCAGGATTGAAAAGCCAGCAAAAGCGGCGACGAAAGCCGAATCATCGAAGGACAGGAAGGCTGCACCTGCACCTACCTCGGAAAGTTCTGCTCAATTCACGAGCTCTGCAGACGAAGGTATGTATTCCATCACGGCGTTGCTTAAGCTTTAAAGTGATACGTAATCTACCATCCAGATGCTCCCCCAAGACATCAATCTGTGCAGGTGAAGCAAGAGCAACCTCACACAAGCCGCGTTCCTTCCGGCTCGAAGCGGACCGTGTCTGGCCAGGAACCTACTACCACTGAAGGTGGGCAGGATCCATCTCATGAGACTGCATCACCTCATTATTTGCCGCCTGCAGCTTCCCAATCGCAATCACAAACTGGGGGTTCGGGTTCGAGCGACAAATTCCTGATCACCATCGTGCACCGCGGGAGTGGCAAAGAGGCCCTCTTCCGGACGCGGCGCAACCTCCCCGTCTCGAAGGTGCTCGACACCGCCTGCACGCAGTTCGGGCTGAGCCGCCGCACGTACGTGGTCCTCTCCCACTCCCCCCTTCCTTCCTTGTATCTGACGGGACCACGCAGAGCGAAGCTATTCATCGTCGACGTCGACCCGCTGTGGCCGATGGTCAAGACTAGCGTTCCCTGCAAACGGGACCAGACTATGGCTGAAGTCGGCGCGAAGGAGAACTCGCGGTTCGAGATTGAGGGGGAGTTCGAGGAGGACGGGTCAGAAGAGTGAACGCTGCCCCTACCGTTTGATTTGTCCTTATTCATGCTCTTTCTTGGATTGTGGCGTTTATATGCCCTGCATTGCCTTCACTACAGCGCTCCGTTCGATCGTGACATAAAAGGGCGATATTGGGTGGATACATATGTGTCTGCACTTTTCTCAGGGCACTTGGTGTAGTTGGTTTATCACGCCCGCTTAGCACTGCTGCGAAGTGCGGGAGGGGACCGGTTCAATTCCGGTAGTGTCCATGATACATAGCTGGTTTGACCCGCTTTTATTCTAACCTTGAAACCATAAACCCATCGCAAAGCGGCAGCTTTTTCTCTAGTGGCGCACCGTCGTAGGTGGGTCTCGTGAAAGAGAAGCTCGCACTCAACTGTGCTAGAGACCGTCCGGCACCATCGCTATTGTGTGGACGACGCGGAAAGTATGGGCAGCGCCCGCCTGAAATACGTGCGATATGGTCTGTGGTGGGACGCCAAACATCACTATGGTCAGGCCGGGAATTAAAACAGACATTACTCAACAGAACTAGAATGCATTCTACAAAACGATACCCTATAGCTAACAAACGACGGTACATGAAAGAGCATACAGAGTTACATAAATCAAGCGAGAGAAAAAGGGTGTCCGTACGCCTCCGTGCAGGGTGTCAACGCCCCATTCTCTGTGTTGGTCCCCTCTCTAGATACGGCGGAAACACCACTGCTCTGCCGCCAGCCCTGCCTCACAAACCCACCCCAGCTGCTCCTGCGATCGTCAGCAGGTGGGGGCGCAGCAGCCGGCGGAGGAGCTTCCCCGGGGACGGGATACAACACCAACCTCGCGGGCATTTTCTGCCTGACCTCCTCCCGGCCCAGCCAGCTGACACCGGCCTCTGGGTCTGGCCCGTGCGGATGTCTCTCGATGAAGTATCCCTCGAGGCCGTCCTCGTCGTCCGAGGAGAACTCGGACGGCATGCGGCGGGCTGGGATGATGTATGACGGCAGGCGGGGTGCGAAGTCGAATCCCGGGGTGATTGGCGTCGCGGGAGTGCTGCGGGAGCGACTGTGCGAACCGTACGACCTGGTAACATGAATGATCTATCACTGGAATCATGCAGGGAAGACATACTGTTCAGATGAAGTGTGTACATCGTCTTCTGCTTTTTCGCCAATGGGCCAAGTAGGGCTGGGCAGGTCCTCGATAACACCGCCCCACCTCGTCCTCTTCCTAACAGGGATCATCGACTTGAACCTGAAGTGGTTTGAGGCACGATCACGTCAGACTGTGGAGATAACACCTACCGAAGGCTTTCCTCCTTCGCGCGATTGTCCCAGTCAGCAGCCATCCTCTTGACGTCCATACGCGGGAGGCTGTCAACACGGGGCGGGCTGTCTGGCCGATCGACGTCAGGACGGTCCAGCGACTCAGCTCTGTTGGAGGAGAAACTGGGAGTCATAGGCGAGTCGCCCCAGCCAGAAGGAAGGAGGGGAGCAGGAGCAGTGACAGGCGTTTCGTGAGCCGCGACTCCAGCTGTCAAGACATTGCTTGCGGCAGGAGTACCCGGTTCAGCGATAGTCAGAGCTTCCGAAGATGGTTCTTCAGCCAGAGGAGTAGGTTGACCCTTAGCAGGAGACGAAGGAAGTGGCATGCCATAATGTGCTGCGTTCCCAGTAGCGATATCCAGAGCTTCGAGGGACTGCCCTTCTCCTCCATCCGTCTTCGCGAGCCCGGCAATATCATCTTGACTCTGGGCACCGAACTGCAGGACTTTGAACGGGGACCTATCCAGAGAAGGGGGCGCGCACTTGAACTTGACCGGAGGGCTCAGAGTGGCATCAGCAGCAGAGTCCGAGCCTGACTGACGAGACAAGACGTCAGTGGAAGAGCGCCGCTGCTTGGGTCTGATAGGAGTCTCAAGAGCAGCAACGGGAGGATTCAACGAAGGAGAGGCAGAAGAAACGATCTCAGGGCTCTGTAAACCAAGTGAGACCAGGTCGTCAGGGTTGAATATGCGGCTAAAGTCCTTGTCCGCTTCGAAGGCGACCTCCAAATCAAGAGTGACGGGTGCGGGCTCCTGACTTATCTTGGGAGACCGCGGTGAACCAGGTAGCGGAGTCGCCTGAGGAAGCCGCACTTTCGGTGCAGGCGTTGCTGGTGCGGTCTCTGTAGTGACAGAGGCAGCGGCTGGAGCGGCGTTATCATGAGTTTCTACAGGTACATGACAAGGAGGATCGGATTTGGATGCGGTCGGACCAGAACTGGTTCTAGAATGTGTTGTAGCAGCTGCACGGCCTTGAGACATAGCGGATCCTGCATCACGAGGAGCGACTTGACCAATAACATCACCAGCCGTTAGGATGTGCATAGGAGCTGTAGTGGTAGCAGGCGTAGAAGGTTTAATTTGTTCAGCTCGAGTGCGCACAAGCTTGCAAGGGACCAGCCGTGACTTCCGGGTGAGAGAAGGGAAGAGGTAGACGAAAGCCATAAGCAAGAACGTCAGAGCCATAGCATAAGTCATCAGAACGGCATAACCAGCCAGGACCGTGCGCTCGAGCATGTCTGGCGGGCCGAGGAGCGTCGTGTGAATGCTTTCCGCCAGATTGCAGATACGAGAGTCGACCTGAGCGAAGGAGAAACGCGATTTGGCGAGCTCCATTTCACAGATTTCGACGTAGAGCGAGCGCAGGGCTTCATGGGTGACTTGATCGTCCGGAGTGGCCTTTTCGGACTCCCATACGGACGGGAAGAGGACTTGATCCTGCGAGTGTACAGCCGCCTCAGAAGACAAAGGGGGTGATACATCGGGAGGGCCGGATTCATCATGCATAGGTTCATTTACCAGTGTGGCAGACGAGCCACTGTCAAGATCAGGAACCTCCTCGATGATATCCGGAAGGTCGACAGCCGAGTCTTGAAATGGGGTATCCTCAGTCACTACGGTAGGCTCCGGAGGTGTCGCCTTGCCCGTGAGAGCCCGTATCAAGCCAAACCCAGCGGCGCTGAGAGTAGCGCGACTCTTCACCAGGACTTCGCGCAAGGTTTCCCCGGGGTGTTGTATGAACTGATATATGTACGGCGCATAGATAACGACAGACACCGCTATTGCGAGGATAGGAAACATACTGGGCAGCAGACGCAAGAGAGGGAACGCGGAAACGAGTGGGAGGAAGAAAGAAAGAGCGCAGACGACAAGTCCAACTTGAACCCGCCGCGACGGGCCAATGCGACGCGTGCGCACGGACCCGTTACGCGCTTTGGCCTGCCCTAAATCGCTAGGCAGTATATAAGGCGGCTTCCGACATGCTTATTTCCTCAGAACATACTCAGCTAGGATCTATTTTATAGGTACTAACTCGAGTCTCGCATGTTTACACATGCCACATCCTTCAAATCCACTCGATGACTTCGGTGCCCGCTCGTTTGACTGAGAACATGCTCTTCCTTGTGGAGGGCTCGAGGACGTTTTGGCTCTTTGTTCCGGGAACTTTTTGGAGGACCTGTGACGAGAGCCAGCGAGCTGGGCACTTGTCTGATGGATTACTACTCGATGGATGTTGTATCGTTTATGTAGCATTTGAAAGTAATCCATATTGTTCTGATGCTCTATCGAACCCTATGCCTGTGTTATAAACGTTTGCGCTCTTTGGATAGAAAATTCCGATGTTTACTCTCCACTTCCATCTTCACCAAGTTGTTGCATGTTATACATTACTACATGGGAGATATCAATGTCGATTGCGGTACGTTTGTAGCTGGATTGCCCAGTTCCCTACTCGCCTCTTTTCCTTGGTCAAATTGAGGGAGACGGTTTACATGTCTAGCTTGATCAGGCGCCGGAATGTAAAATAAATTTCTACCTACCAAGGACGGATCCACTAGAAGAACCACGTCTATGACAGTGGTGTGGCATAGACGGCCGGCAGTAAGTACTGGACATAGAACATGGTCACGATATATGGAAGAGTGTAAGCCCAGCCGCCTCAGCAATTTTTTTACCCATCTGCAGTGGCCGCCTGCTACACGCCTCGACGCGACGTAGGCGGTGCTGTCGAACGCGGAAAATTGGTCAATTCGATACCTAGATCATCAAGCTACACCCGCACACAAGTAAGACGACGTGCTATATCATCAAGCTTATGCAGACACACCTATGGCTGTGACGAGGCCGGCTTGTCCGGAGAGGGAGCCTGATCTGAGCGCCCAAGGCTCATCCGCGCAATCTGGCCGTCCGCATCTTGAATCTCCACCTCGACATCCTGGGTACTCGCTCCCGCGGCCACCTCTTCGTCCACCTCTTTCGCGCCGGACTCCTCAAGGTTCATGACCTGCACCAGCCACTTCGCGCCCTCGTCCCACCCCGCCATCTCCGCCTCCGCCAGCGGCGATCGCCCCGCGGCGTTCTTGATGTCTATCAGGTCCACGCCAGGCCCGCCGGGGAACTGCACGAGCTTCTGCACGACCGGGAGGTGCGCGTTCACGCACGCCCAGTGCAGCGCCGTCGATTTGGACTCGTTCTGCGCCGAGAGTAGAGATGGGGGAACGAGTGGTAGAAGATATTCGAGCAGCTCTAGGGGACGTCTTTCGTACATCAGATGCTTTTTCATCCGGGGGCGTCTTGCTGAAGACTCACCTATGTGCCCGTTCCCGCTCGCCATGTGCAGGACGGTGTTCCCGTTCTCATCGCGCACTTCAGCCAGCGGTGCCTGGCCATACTTGTTTACGAACTCCTTGACGTCGTCGAGGTCCCCGTAGCGGCAGGAAAGGAGGAGGTCCTCTTTCTCCTCGTCCGTAATTTGCGCGACCGACATGACCGTGAAAGATAAAAGATTGAGCTGGATCGCGCTGAGATCTGCACACGATTTGGGTTGGGCGGCTCCGGACTCGGCTAACATCGAAGCCGGGTTCATAAATTTAGAGGCCGGGCTCCCTGCTGCAACGCAGATTGATGGAGATCAGACAGGACCTGACTGAGCCAAGTCCGGATCTATGGTCTTGTGGCCCAGCAGTGCCGTGCTCTAATGTATCAGCGAGGGCCTTGTGCTCGCGAACAACGAACAAGGGATGTGGCTGTCGTTCCAGCCACAAATATGCACGCACACCGGCGATGTCAGCGCAGAAGATACGGTCAAGCGAATTGAAGACCTATTACTGGTACGCAGAAGCCCGAGAATGCAGTGATGGCCATAAAGGCGAAAGGGGAACCTCTTCGTCAGCGACGCAGCCGGTGCACATGCTCGCTTGGGGCCATCACTCCGTCTGGGTAACGAGACTGGAGCCCATCATCCAAGACATCAGCCGTGTCTCTTGTTTTAGAAGGGGGTCCGCGTTATATGGCTTGCCCCTGCTCTAGAAGGCGGCGCCAGAGGCCTTTTTGATTATACCAGCAGGCAGCAGAGTTTCTACCCCCGCCTCTGCTCGCCGGCTCGAGTCTTGGTCGTACTGCGTCGCTCCCTCCTACCGCCGTCATGTCGCATACGTCGCCCGCAACGTACCTGGTGTGGTCCATTTTGTCATGCTTGGTGAGTCGGGATGTGATCTTCCCCCGCCGATCCATCTGACTGCACGATATATGGCAGTTAGGAGCATTTCTTGTCTTCCATCTCTGGTCCTTTGATCGATTCAAATGCCTAAAGTGAGTGCTGGTCCTCCAGGGAAGGGGACAGGGCTACAGCGAAGATGCAGATGGAACAGCGGGCCATATTCCGGCGCGTTCAAGCGCGTCATGACGGTGCGTTTCATCTTACATGCTTTGCGAGAGCGTGGCCCTGACGACCCGCCAGTACACATACTTATTGAGTGTACCAATGGTGACAATGTACTCCCTCGGCTTCTGCATCATCAAGTACAGAGAAGGATACACGTTCATGCCTGATCATGGAAGTGAGTCGCCGTCCCATCTGATCGGCCGAGGAGTTCCTCATGTTCTGCAGTCGTGCCCACGCCCTACCAGATGTGGCCTCAATCCGAGCAGGCAGCAATATTCCCGTTAACTCTGTTATTTGCCATAGCGTGGAGCTTTGAGATGTAGTTATCCCTCTCGCTCTCTCCCTAGTACCCCTCGCTAACCTCCTCTTCGTTTAGGGTGACGCACTTGGAAGGTACGCCAACAGAACCTCTATCAAAATTCGCATCTGGATCAGATTTACAATGCACCCGGTGCAGAGCTCTGCTTCTGGCTCTTCCTCGTGAACGCTAGTACGACGCAGCAAGACTGGTTCCGCAGCTACTACTTCCGCACATGGACGGTCGGCTCCGTCGTAGCGGTGGTGTACATGCCGCTGGTGACGATTTTTACTCGCGGAGACAAGCTCAGGGTGAATGATTCGCTCGTTTGCGCAAGTCGAAAAGCTCACTGTCTTGGTAGTGCGAAGCCTTTACGTTCCTGGCGGGTAGTCTGGGCAGTCTTTCCTTGACTCTGTGGTTTATGCCTATTCTGTGCGTACTCTGCCGCCGCCGCTTCTTGTTAATCGAGCTGATGAATGTTGCCGTGCAGTTGGACGTTCCCTTCATTTTTGCAAAATTTGGTATATATGTACCCTCTCTTCCGCTAATGGGATGACTGACACACCGACAGCGTAATGAGGGCGCCGACATGAACACCATCGCTCGTTTAACAAAATTCCACGAACTAAACGTACGCCCCCAGATCCCTTCACAGCCTGCCCCTCCTCACGTCGCTCGCCCCAGACACTCCGAGTGATCTTCCGCTTCATCTTTGTCGTGCCCCTCCTGCTCCTCGGCGTCGACGGCATCCGCCCACATCAGCATCTGAACGAGAGCATGTGCGTGTCGTGATTTCCGTAAATAACCCAGACGAACGTGCAGAACTGACCGGTGTCTATCTTTGACGCAGGGCTGTCACTGGTTAGCTGTAATTTACCTTCCCATCGATGACGGGTATTGACGTGTGGGCAGACGTCCTGGCTATGCTCGCCGCGATTGGGTGCATGATCTCGTCTGCCATGACGCTCGTTGTGAGTTTCCCAGCCTTCCTCATCACCATCATTCTCGACGCTTCCATACTCCCATCCCCCTCCCATCCGTTCCCAGCCTCATCAACCACTCCACCTCCCGTGTTGAAAATAACTCACCCACTACACCAGATCTTCTTCCCCCGCCAAATCCAAACCGAGATCCAAGTCAAAGAAGCCAAGAAAACCGCCCGCACCGCGCGCTCGCACGCGCGCACGCATTCCCATTCCCACTCTCACTCGCACTCCGACTCGCACTCGCACTCGGGCGGCAAGGCGACGTACCTGCTCGAGCAGAACGTGTACGAGCTGCAGCACCCGAACCCGTGGGACGCGGGCGACGAGCAGAAGCTGCCGCCGCTCTCGCCGAACCGGCGCCAGCCCGACGACGTCGAGATGGCGGTCAAGGGCGGGCGCCTGAGCGAGCGCAATCTGAGGAAGCATGATCAGAGGATGTCGAAGTATAATAGGCTGGTGCATAATTATACGTCGCCGATTGGTGAGTGCTTTTTTTGTTCTGTCGTGTGTTGTGCAATGTATTTCGTTGCTGATTGTTATTCGTTCCTCGCCGTGCGTGTTGCAGATCTGATGAGCTAAGCGTGCGATGCGCGATGGCGACCAGACTGAGAGCGTTTCTTGTACGATATATACTGACTACCCCGCTTGGCATAATACCATCACTATCGTTTGCCTTCCGTGTATACCGCTGTCGATGCTTTCGAATGTGTATGTGTATTCTACGAGCCCACCAACGTTCGCAGGACCTGGATGTGGCGTGCGGTATTTGTGGCTGAGCACGCCACCGGGAATAGCCGAAGCGTCTACTTGCCCTTCCTCTCCCTTGCCCGGAGCCAAAAGCGCACCAGATGTGGTCAGTGCAGGCCCTCTCCTCTCGCTCACTCCGTTACTTATCCCGGTACTTGCATCCTGCACCGATGCTCCTTTCCCATAATCCGTAATCCAACCGCTCGCTCTCATGCCCTCCCCTCCCCGAACACACCTGAATCCTGAACGAACCAGCAAACACATCCTGAACGCGCAGGTGTCCATCCGCGCGCCGTGCTGCCGCGCGTGGTTCGACTGCGCGCAGTGCCACGCGGAGCAGCGCCCGGACCACCGCCTGCGGCGCACGACGGAGATGACGATGCTCTGCAAAAAGTGCCGCAAGGCGTTCAGGAAGGACCTGAGCGACCCCGAGCAGTGGGAGGAGAGCGACGAGTTTTGCCCGTGGTGCGATAATAAGTATGTGAGTAAGGGTTTTGTTTGCGTGGCCTAAGGTCGAGCAAGGTGGGGAGAGGAGGGGGAGGGGGAGGAAGGGAGGTGAGGAGAGGGCAACATGCTTGGTCTCGTTTCGCGGATATATATGCGCGGCGGCGTAGCGACGGATAGATTGCTGATCACTTTCCGGACAGGTGTTAGAGGCCAAGATCCCGCAAGCAGTGATCGGCGTCGAAGGGGAAGATCTGCGGAAGGACAACCGGTGCGTCCGCTCCTCTGCCTCCATTTACACCGCCATCCCTCTTACCTGCGCCGCTTACGCTTATTCTCGCTTAGGATGATCAAGGACGAGCGAATGCGGCAGCCCGCGCGCACCGACCTCGACGACGCGCCGCGGCCGCCGCAGATGGAGCTGACGCCGGAGGAGCTCGCCGAGCTGGAGGAGCTGGCTGGGTGATCATGTACATGGGGAGGTGTCTGGGCGAGGTGATGTTGCTTCGTAAACGCTATTATTCGTCTTAAATAATGGATTCATTTTCGTCGTACCGCTACTGCCAGTTCGGCTGTCTCAGTCCGAGTCCTCTCGCGGCCAGGGTCGGGACGTGTACTCTCGGGACCTTGCTTTGTTGTGTGCGAGTCAGAGTTTTCGGGACTCCTCGCGAGCGTTAGTAAGACGTCAGGGATCGGCGTAGGACGGGATACGAGTCTGACAGCTGAAACGCTTTTGTGGCTAGACGCCAGTGTCGAATAGGCAAAGAAGGAAACGTCTGTGGTGTGTCCGACTCGCGCGTCCTGAGAGGGCTGGATGAGTACGCAAAACGCAGGACTGACTCCCATTGTCCTATGACATGGGCAGGGGACGCGCCATTAACGTATTTGTGGACATGTAAGAGGAATGCAGGTTCCAGTCTAGTCTCGTCCTATATCGCAATTCATACATCACGATGGGGTAGACGTACAGCTTCCAGGCCAGCTGTCTGTTCGAAGGTTAATGCGATACAGTCGTCGAAGCAGCGCCCACTCCAAAGTCCAAGAGTAGAGCGCCCATTTAGCTCAAGGTCCGTGCGCGCGTACGTATTTTTGCTGGATTCGAGTGGATGATGGGAGCATGGAATGCACTGGGTCGCGTCTAAATCGATGCCGGCGGTAAGTGTGACGCTGCCTACGTCTTTGCGGTGCCTCGATGCTGGACATGGGACGCCCCATCCCGATCGTGTACTTTGTCGTTGGCGTGGGGTCCGCGGATTCACCGGCGTATACGCCATGTTTTGTGGACGAATAGCACCCGAGACGAGAACGCAGCTTCCACGGTTTATAGTCAGAAGAATCTGGAATGAACGATAGACTTTGAGAACGGCATGTCCGAAGCCTGGGATTCGGACAGTTTGCGTTGCAATGTTTGCCGGTGGATGCCGCGCGTCTCGATCACTCTCGATCACCAGGGCCCGGGACATATCGGAGGCAGTCCGGGCAAGTGCTGCTTTCGCGGTCCAGTACAGCGAAACATAGTTCATGTTCGAGACGTGCAGTATAGCTGTCGTGTAGACTCAGACTTGGTCTGAGAATGATTGAGGTATGGCGAATGCGTGTACCGATTTTAGAAGGACTTTACTGGAGGGACCGAGGCCGGCCTTGCGTATGACGCGTGTCGCTCTCACAAGAGTCCTCCACTCCATCGTGACATGGACACTTACGCCGTTCCTCATTCGAATCGCCTTAGCTGGGCGAGGACATCATCGCTGGAAACGGGTCAACTTCACGCTTGGGTCTCTCTATCAGCGCGCGCTCACAATCCCTCCGAAAAGAATGAGTAACGAAAACCAGGGAAGGTCATATGTTGTATGTGCGTCGGCGCTACGGTACTCAAATTTGGTACTGACCAACGGACAATCTAGGAAGAGCAGCTTATGACAAACCACGGATGGAATGTTCACGAAACAATCGAGGACCGCGAATCCCTGCAGTTCGATGGTCCGAGTATGGCCGCTCCCAGCCCAAATCCAGGTCGAGCTCCTCGTGCGTTCCGGAGTCGTGGCCCATGACGATAACGCTGACGGATGCGGCGCCACTCTTCCCGTTCCCTCGCAAGGTTCACCCCCCGCCCATCTATAAAACCCGCCCTCCTCGAGGCCATCCAGACCGTCGTCGACACAGACACTCGATTCCTTCCCCCTCCACCGCCTTCACTCACCGCACACCGAGTGAATACACTGCGCGACAGCCATGCCGACCGTCCCATTCTTCAACGAGCTCAACCGCGCGCTCGACATCAACCCGCCCAATGCCAACATCCACCTCAGCAGAGCCGGCTCCGACTGGCTCTGGGCCGTGTTTGCCGTCATGCTGCTGTCAGACCTCATCTTCATCGCGTGGTCTTTTACTGTGAGTAGTCCGAGTAGATCGTCGAAGAGCCAGTCAGGCTAACGATGCTGCAGAGGCCCCGCGGCACACGTGTCTTCCACCAGTTGCCGATCATCATCCTTACCACCGCGTCTATCGCCTACTTCTCGATGGCTTCCGACCTCGGCGCTACGCCCATCCTCGTCGAATGGCAGAGGCACGGCGGCGGTACGCGCCAGATTTGGGTAAGTATTTTCCGGTTCGTCGACTTGAATACTATCTAACCACCTCGCTTCCAGTATGTCCGCTACATCCAGTGGTTCATCACCGCACCCCTCCTCCTGCTCGAGCTCCTGCTCGCCACCGGCCTCTCCCTCTCCGAAATCTTCACCGCGATTTTCATGGTCGAAGTGACCGTGATCTGCGGCCTGCTCGGCGCGCTCGTGCACAGCACGTACAAGTGGGGCTACTACGTCTTCGGCGTGTCCGCGCTGCTCTACGTCTGGTGGGAGTTCCTCGGCCACGGCGGGCGCAGCACGTTCGCCGCGCCCGTGCGCTCGACGTACATGGCCGGCTCGGGCTGGTTCTCGTTCCTGCTGCTGCTCTACCCCGTGTGCTGGGGCCTCAGCGAGGGCGGGAACGTCATCACCGTCACGAGCGAGATGATCTTCTATGGCATCCTCGACCTCTTCGCCGGCCCGTTCTTCCTGTTCTTCCACCTCTGGCGCCTGCGCGCGGTCGACTATGCCGCGTTTGGGCTGAGCAGCGGCAAGCCGACGGATTATTACAGGTTCTCGGGTGATGGTGCGGGCATGAGGGGCACTGGTGCGCCCGTGACGGGTGCGCCGGCTGCGACTGGCCCTACTGCCACTGCCTAAACGACTGCTACGAACAAAACGACCTGCAATGTCCCTCATCCCCTTCCCCTCCACGCATTGCATACGCAATCCCCCATACACACCGCCACCTGACACGCCTCTATACGATTTGATGCTCGCACGAATAAAGCAAAGATGCATTGTATTATTAGTGTAGATTTTGTCGCTTTTTGTAATGCCCTTCGCGCTTTCGCATATACATGTTTTTATGTTAATGACGTTTAATGCAATTGCGATGCTTTGGTATTTTCTTGGTAGTGATTCGACTGTAATATGCGTCGAAGACTTCAGCTCGGAGTGCAGGAATTTAGTGATTTGAGAAAGCGTCAGCGCTAGTTTTTGACGCTTGTGCCACATTTTTATATGAAGGCTGGCCTGAGACCAGATAATTGCGACTCTCCTGCGTTCTGCAACGATGGGTATCTCTTATCCAACTTACGGATACCACACAACGGCAAGTCCATCGCGAGGATGATTGTCTTTCATTGCAATCGCAATTTTCAATCTTTCCAATCCACAGACGTGAAGGCGAGCGCAACTCGCGATACTGCATTACATGACTACACAGATCTAAACAGGGATACATAGTACAATAGGGCAGGAACAACAATCCATCAGACAAGTGCCCAGCTCGCTGGCCCCCGTCCAGGTCCTCAAACGAGTCCCCGGAGCAAAGAGCCAAAACGTCCTCGAGCCCTCCACAAGGAAGAGCGTGTTCTCAGTCAAACGAGCGGGCACCAAAGTCATCGAGTGGATTTGAAGGATGTGGCATGTTTAAACATGCGAGACTCGAGTTAGTACCTATAGAATAGATCCTAGCTGAGTATGTTCTGGGGAAACGGGATGGAGGGGGGGGAGGTTATATAGGGTGGGGATGTTTAGGGCAGGCCAAAGCGCGTCGATCTGTGGCTTTCACTGGCAGTGCTTCGGCCTTGGGGCGTTCTTTCCACCTATCACTTGCGAGAATGTAAATCCACGAGTTATGGACGAGACATGCCACAATAATTCAAACCACGACCTATGTACTCCTCCCATACTTTCAGTCAAACTTCGTCAGTGATCCAGGTTTAGCACATAGTAGCCTTTATTGGCAAGGGGATTACCTATGTCGGATATGTCATTGACTCGTAGTGAACGGCCTGCGCGATACGCATCTCGGACCACCCGAGTGACGCCAAAAGCGAGACGCCTTAGACTTGGGACTACGCCCCAAGACGCGAGACCAAGGGGTCTTGAAAACCTTATTTTGCCACCCCACCTGAACGCCCCCCCTGGGTACCCCACCTCATCCCCCTTGACTTCAACGCTCGAGCATCGGTCTACATACAGTACACGACACCGCCTACAGTAGTATAATAAGGCCGTCCGCTACTCTGCTCGACGCCCCGTCCTCGCTGTCTTCCCCGTCGACCACCATGCATCCCTTGCTTCCGGCCGCGGTCCGGGTAGAAGTCTGGTAGCAAACCCCAACCCTAGGGTGTACCGCCGCGGGTCAGGTGACGCAGGCGCGCCGCTTCTTCGGGGCTGCGTCCCGCCTCTCCGGCGCCTCGTCGGTAGACCCGTCGTTGTCGTCGCCGACGATGAGCACAGCTATAACA